TTCCTTCTACAGTACTCAAAGCAAGTGGCTTCAAAAGAATAAAGCTAATTTTAAAATGAAATCCCTTTTAAAAATGAGATTATACTTTTATTCATTCAATAGATATTTTTTGAGATCCTGTTATGTATTTAGCTGTATTAGGCCTTGGTTGGGGGAGTGGGAGTAGAGAAAGATGAATAAGACAGTTCCTGCCTTCAAGGTGCTTACAATCAATCTGTCTGGGGAAATAAAACTGGTAAGCATTAAGAGTTTAACAAAGATACAGGGTACTGTAGATTATGGTGTAGACAGTATGTATATATATATATGTGTATATATATATATACACACTCAACATATATATGCAATACATATATGTAGACTGGATATATAAACTGTATGTAAAAACTATGTGTATATATATATTTATATATACATATACATACACACTATATATATATACATATATATGTATATGTATGTATGTATATGCATTCCTGGCAGGAATTAAAGTGTTTTTTGGAGAAGGGTAAGAAGAGAAGAGTCTGTTTTGCCTTCTTTGAGTGACAACCGCTTGTTCTACAGGGACCCTCACAACATGTGAGGACCTTACTGCATATGTAGCCTTTTTATGCTACTAAGACTTTCATAGATTTTAAAGGATTAACATTGTTTTATTAAATATTTTTTAAAATGTCACCCCATCAGCTTCTGGACTCTGCTACAAGTTAATTGGTTTGGTGGTATCTTTTTTTGGCAGTACTCTTCTAGATATAGCCCAAGAGACAAGGGGTTACAGGTATATTGCTTTTAATTCATTATTTTGAAAGGACTGTGAGACTAGATAATCTCTAAAATCTCTTCTAGCTCTTATATTCTAGGAGTCTGTGAAGCAAGCCTCTCATAGGATCATAGACTTTAGCATTTGAAGCAATCTTGGAAGCTGATTATTCCAAAACTCTCACATTTTACAAATGAGGAAATTGAGGGCCAGAGATATTTGTAACAGTAAGGTCTAACAGCTAAGGCTGCAGCACTTATAATTTGTTTCACAGGTTTGGATCTGTACCCACAAAGACATGTTCACACTTTTCCTAACTTATAAATGATTTAATAATGGCAATAATCATAAACATACATGAACATAAATATGATTACATATGACTATACAATCTTAGAAGCAAAGACTGTTAACAGAAAGATAGAGAGATAAAGAGGAAGAAATACATCACCAATCTGAGGAAGTACCAACTCCTGAACATCTGGTTTGGGGAGTCCTGTATCACAGACATTAGGGTCTCGGTTGGGAAAGTCCCTATGGCAGAGCATCCTCTCCGAGGGGGACTCCCAAAGTCACTTTCCCAAGAAACACCCTTTTTATCATCCCTACACAAAGAAGGCAGGGAGCCAAGGAATAGGTGATTAATCCTAAGGACCTGAGAGTTTCGGCCAAAATTCTCCTTCTTCAAGAACAATCTTTGTTATGTCAAAAAATGTCTCGGATCAATACCCAGGGACTGGCCAAGTCCCTGGATGTTTACCTCAAGACTTGTTTTTTTAAGGAATAGTGCCTCAAGGTGGGTCTGGGTTGAAACAAATCCCAGAACAATACTTTTGGGAAGTTCCTTGTCCCTTGGCTTGGGCTGTGGGTAGGGAAGATATTATACATTAACCCTTCAATATTAAATAGCTAAATTATAGGATCCTAGGATAATAGACCTAGAGTTGGAAGGGATCTTGAAGACCATCTAATTCAGCCCCATTTTACAAATGAGGAAATTGAGGCCCAGGGAGATTAAGTGTCTTGCCCAAGAAGCAAAGCTTAGATTCAGTTCCATATTCTCTGACTCTTTGGCTCTTTCCATGGCACCATGCTTCTTCCTATCAGCCCTTATGTGAAAGGGTCCATTTCTGCATGTGGGCCATGGGTTTTAGTTTACAGTCTAAAGTCTGAGTCCATCAATTGGCCTGTCTTCTCAATAAAGTAGGGGGTGAGTGAGGTCATCTGCTAAGATTCATGGGTAAAGGGACAGACTTTGGATCTGGCTGGAAGAGTTTTGGATTAGTCACTGTGTGGGAATGTGGGAAGGAGTCAAAAAGATAAAAGAATTCTAATGGAAAAATAAGGCCTATGAGTCTATGTGGTATATTTTCATGTGGTCTCTTCAATACTTCCATTCAGGAAGCTCTGCGAGCAACAGTCAGAGAAGATAAACCAGGCCTCATTTGGAGGGTGTCCAGCTCCAAGTGTGTGAACTGCATTTCTTTTTTATCCCTAATCCGAGGCCTCTAGGCCCAAAGATCCTTTACAAAATTTACTACTCAAGAGTATGAGGGACACATACATATGGGTCGTGAGGAGAAATGGGTAAATGAGGCTGGAGCAGAAAAGCTAATTGTGAGATGGCAAAGGGATGGGGCCATGAGCAAGATGGGAGCCTTCGCCGGCCCTTGGAGAACTCTGTGCCTCCCATAAGAACTCCAGCTGGTTTTACCCCAAGACCTGTCAGAGAACATACTACCTGATCCAGTTGAAAGCAAACTGGAATTGGAAGTAGAGCATCTGAGTTCAGATTCTGGCTCTGCTACTTACTACTTACGGGATGTGGCCAAGTCACTGCCATTCCTTGACTCAGTTTCTCCATCTGTAAAATGAAGGGGCTGGTCTCAGTGACCTCTGAGGTCGCTTCTAGCTCCAAGTCCATGATCTTAGCTAGAACACTCCACACATCTATGGGTAGAGGCTGGAAGGATTTTGAAGGCCCTTATTCCTCCCCTGAGAAATGTTCTTTTCCTCTCTCTACATAAACAAACTCATTTTGCTTTATTTGTTTAGTGGGGGAAATGGTTCCCTGTCATCCTCTGGTGGGATGGTAGTTCACAAGAATTAATAATTATTGTATGATGTGGAAGATCACAGGATTCCCTGTAAACAAGCCATCACCGTTCAGAGAGAAGGAACATCTTGCTTGCATATGTTTCATTAGTAACAAGGCATTCCTCATGGGCTTCTCTCCTTGCTTCAAGAAATGAGATGCACCGAATTAGCTTCCTAATGGCCCAAGTGGTAACAAGATGAGATGGAATGGAGCCAAAGTTCAATGGATTCCAGTATGGTGATCCCTTTGAGGATGTTTTTTGGTCTCGTGCTATTTACATTTGTCTTAGGTTAAGGTTGCATCGCCATGTTGGGGAGGTGAGGGCCCCGGACGATCTAACCTGGGTGTATTCCAGTCTTGGAGGCACCTCCAGCTTCCTTCCTATGCTGTTGGCAAGAGGGTGGGGGCAGGTGTCTCAACGCAATTCCCCTCAAATTCCATTCAGGTCAAGAAGTGTTTGTTGAATTCCTTCTTCGCATCCAGCTCTATAACAGGTGCTGTGGGGAATACAGGAGAAGGCCTGTATTCCCTGTCACTAAGTGCAGAAGTAGAGGGCTGGTGAGGTCAGGGAAGGCTTCCCGGAAGAAGCAGGACTTAAACCAGTGGTTTTACAGATTTATTTAGGTAACGAAAGGAGAAGGGTACAAAACTGAAGGAGTGATGAGGAGCAATAAGAAACAGGAGGGAAATAATCAGAGATGGTATCACTAATATGAATGCAGAAGAGGTGTTTGCCGATGGATTTGCAAGAACATACTGACATATCAGCCTGCATCTGGCAGTAACTCGATGAAAGATGCTCTAAGAAACACCGATGGGGGTGCGGGGGGAAGGATTGAGTGTTTTCAATAGCTCCTGCAGGCCAGAAGCCAGGACACTTTGAGTTCAGTTTCCTGAAGCTGTCTTTTGAAGTTGGTCCCTTTTCTCAGAGCCCTGAATAATTCTATTAACTATGCACTGTGGGGTCTGGTTATTTGGTGGCTGTGCTTTTGGGGAGAGAGGAAGGAAAGCTGTGAAAAAGAGAAGGTATTGACAAGGTGAAGCTGGGAGGTGGCAATCTCTTTAAAAAAAACAACAAAATCACTTTTTTTTCTTTTTGGTGAGGCAATGGGGGTTAAGTGACTTGCCCAGAGTCACACAGTTACTGAGTGTTATGTGTGGGAGATCAAATTTGAACGCCGGTCCTCCTGCCTCCAGGACCACTAGCACCACCTAGCTGCTCCCCCAAATCACCTTTTAACAAGTTGTTTGTGTCATCATTCAAAAGGAAAAGGATAATAATTTCCACACGCAGAGGCCCTTCACAAAATCCCACTTGCTGTCCTCTCTTGAGGCTCACTGAGCCTCAGACTTGGAGTCCAAAGATTTGGTTTGAGCAGTCTATGCCTGTCAAAGGAATTTGAGTTTCGTCTGAAGTATCAATCTACTTAAATTCAAACTGGGAATTTGGAGGCAGACAGATAGACATCTGGTTGCTAGTTCCTCCTTTACACTTCATACTATAGATGTCGACATAGCCCTGGACACCTGGCATACTCTGTTTTCCACAGCTGGCCACAGCCTGCCTGCATCAGGAACTGAGTGGGACTAAAGGACATGATTGATGGTTCATTTTAGGGGTTCTTAACTTTTTTGGATAGTCTGGTAAAGACTATGAAATTCTCAAAATCATGTGGTTAAATCAATAAAATAAAATTCATAGGAAACCAATTATAGTGAAATAGTCATTAAAAAAAAAGTTCACGAACTCCAGGTTAAGAACCTCTAATATGATGGAAAGGGCATGGTATTCAAAAGACCTGAGTTCAAGTTCTCACCCCAAGAAAGAGACATTGGGCAAGTTATCCCACTTTTCTGAGTCTGTTTCCTCATCTATTAAATGTAGATAATAACATTTATACCTCCTCATTGTTGTTATTCAGTCATTTCAGTCATGTCCAACTCTTTGTTACCACATTTGGGGTGTTCTTGGCAGGGATATTGGAGTGGTTTGCCATTTCTTTCTTCAGTTCATTTTACAGATGAGGAAACTGAGGTAAACAGAGTTAAGTGACTTGCCCAGGGTCACACAGCTAGTAAGTGTCTGAGGCCAGATTGGAGCTCAGGAATATGAGTCTCCCTGACTCTAGGCCAGGTGTTCTTTCCACTGTGCTACCTAGCTGCCCCAACTACCTCACAGGTCTGTTGTAAAATTTAAAAAAAAAAGAGTTTTTAAAGTTGCCTTCCTGTCTTCTTACCTCTTATTCTCCATGACACTCTTTTCTAGCAACAGTGGCCTTGAGTATGACAGTCAATGTCCTCTCTCCATGCTTTGTAGTAGCTGTACCCCTTGCTGGAATGCTCACCTTTGCCTCTTAGTTTTCTCTTACTATCTTCAAGGCCCAACTCAAATCCCACTTACTCTGGGAGTCCTCAGTCCCTCCAGCTGTTACTGCCTTACCCTCTCAGTGTCTTATATCTCTCTGTCTATATCTTCAGTCTACCTCCCTGTTATTTACCTACATGGTTCTATGTCGTCTCCCCTACCAAAATGGGAACTCTTTCTGAATAAAGATAGTTTTTACCTGTCTTTGTATCCCCAGTGCTTAATATGGCTCCTGGCACATCGTAAGAGTTTGATAAATCCTTGTTGACTTGACCTGACTTGGCTGCAAAGCCATACAGAAATGGGAGCTATTATTATTATCATTGCATTTAGTGTAGGTACTCTCGGACAGCGAGTTCTTTCAAGGTGATGCCTTTGGCTGGGGCCTTCTGGAGTTGGCTTTCTTCCAGCTTCTCCTGCAAAGATACAAAGTCCTTCCCCAGCATGTAGGCCAGGTGGATCATAGCCTCCAGTAATGGGTCATAGTACTTATGGCTAGAGCGGGTCTGTAAGTTAAGAAGAGCCTTCTCCCCAACCTCAAAGGCCTCTGCAGGGCGCTCCAGGTCTCGGTGGCATACTAGCATGGCACACAGGGAAGGGATCACCAGAGTGGGGCAGTGGCAGGTGAGTTTCTCCTGCAGAGGCACCACCTGGATAAAAATATCCAAGGCCTTGACGTACTGTCCTGCCCTGAGGCAGCCATAGGCCTCCTTCAGCTCTGCTCCGGTAAGAAAGTCGATGAACTCCCTGGAGCGGCGGACACACTTGATGGAATACAGAAGGCTCAGGTACTCCTTGAAGGCGAGCTTTCTCTCACTGATCATCTCCTCTGTGAAGTTGCCTGTCAGATATTTCTTGGGAAAGGTGATATCTTCAATTTCTTCACTGAAATTCTTCAGGAGGTTTTTGTGGAGCACCTCAAAGTCTGAGTACCGCCTCTCCAAGATGGCTTTGTTGCTGTCAAAACTCCCTGTCTGGATGACAATGATTTTGTACATCTAAGATCAAAAAAAAAAAAACAAAAAAGGAAAGAAAAGACAAAAGTATTTAACTGTGCTCTAAATCCAGTGTTAACCAGGAGTTCTCAACCTTTCTGGCACCATGGACCCCTTTGGCAGTGTGGTAAGGCCTATTGACCGCTTCTCAGAATAACGTATTTAGATGCATAAAACAAGATGTATATGATTATGAAGAAAACCAACTGCACTTAGGTACAGCTATCAAAATTGAATAAATGAGCTGAATTAAGCACATTTTTAAGAAAGTCCATGAACCTCAGGTTAAGAACCCCTGCTATACTGACACTTGACATGGAAATACTGGTTTCCTAATGGTTGTAATAATTAATTTCATTGCGCACTCTCAATGATCTGAGCTGGTCCCTGACACAAAAACCCATCTTTTCAGCACCAGAATCGTTTTAGTAGTTCTATATGGCTGCATATTATACAATACCCCAATCTTCAAAGAATCAAACTCTGTGGGGAGCCCCAAGGGCAACAGAAGTACACATTTTAATTATAAAGAGGTTGCAGTTTGTTACCAATGATGGCTTCTTGCTGTTGTTCAGTCGTGCCTGTCTGTTTGTGACCCTTTTTGGGGTTTTCTTGGCAAAGATACTAAAGGTTTGTCATTTCTTTCTCTAGCTCATTTTACAGATGAGGAAACTGAGCAAATAGGGTTAAGTGACTTGCCTAGGGTTATACAGCTATTAAGTGTCTGAGGCCAGATTGAATCTCAGGAGGTTGAGTCTTCCTGACACCAGGCCAGGAACTCTATCCACTGCACCACCTAGCTGCCCAATGATGACTTGCTAATGAGAAATGGCACAAAAGGCATCTTCAAGGGCATGCATGACTGGAAAGGGAGATGGGCTGGCTATGGAGGGAGACTAAGGGATAATAGCTGCATAACCTCCTGGTGCCTATGATATGGGGAAGGAAAAAAAAATAACTGTTGAATAGATCCTTCATAGAGGATTTGTGGAAGTCATGGCAAGAATTTCATAGAATGAGAGGGTCTTGATGGGTTGCAATCTCTACCTACAGATGAAACGCCCATAAGGAGGAAATCACAGTTCTACTGAAGAAGGGAAGCATTTGATTGGAACCTTCTGTTCTATGCATGGGACATTTTATTCCCTTATCCATCTGTCTGCTTTTGCAGACATGACTAGAATGTATTTCTTCCTCTTCTCACCTCTGTCTTTCAAAATCCTGCATTTCCTTAACGTCTCAGCTGAGCTACCACCTCCGATAGGAAGTTTTGTCTGATCCTGTAGTTGTTAGTGCTTCCTCCTATTAATTTGTATATATTCTGTGTTTAGATATTTATGTAAATGTCATTTCCTGCCAATCAGAGGTAAGCTCCTTGAGTATATATGTTTTTGGTCTTTGAATCTCTGATGCCTACCATAATGCCTGGGACATTGTAAATACTTTAAAAATACTTTCTGAATAAAATTTTAATTTAATAGTTAAATTCTATGTAATGAAAGCGAAAATAAATACAAAAGTGCTTTGTAAACCTTCAAGTGTTAATATGTCTGTGTACAATCATTATTGTTTGGGGTGGTATAGCAGAAAGAGCATTTTCTTTGGGTATTCTCTCTGGCTGTTCCCCAGTGGCACACAGTAAGGGCCTAAGAAATGTTTATTGATTGACTGAAAGGATGTTTAATTACCCATTGCACTGGATTCTTTACTATTATGTATAGGACTTATCTCCCTAACTAGATTATAAACTCTGTAAAGGCAGGACAAGGATACCTTTTCTTAATATGGGACTTTATAATCTGAAAAAAAAAGGACATTCATATATATCCCATAGGACATAACCACGCTGAGAGGTAAGTGGAACAGTATTGTTTCCACTTTAAGGTAAAGAATTTGGGGCCCAGTGAGTTGCCCACAGGGAGTGGTAGAATCAAGGCTAGGAGCTGGTAGAGGGCAGTAGACACTTCTGTAGGTCAGCTTACCACATATTTGGAAGAATATTTTTTTGCAATTCTGGTGGATGCTATTTCAAAGAGTAGTTTGACTGGTTTCCAGCGGCATTTCTCATTCTTCCAATATTCCTGGAGCTCCTTCGTGGTCATGGAAGAGTTGGAGCTTGGGTCATTGCTGAAATCTGGAAGGACGGCATTATTTTTGGTAAGTGCTTCTGGGAGAAGAATGACCCTTGCCCTGTGGATGTGAGAAGATGGTGGGACCTCTGTCCTGGGGGAATCTCACAAGTGTTACGAGAAGTTATTCATCAGTGAACTGACATATCTATCCTCTATTTTTATTGAATCACAGGAAGAGCTGATAGGGCACTTAAGAGAACCTCTAGTTCACCCCCTTGATTTTACATAGAAAGAAACTAGATCCCAGCGAAGCAAAGACACTTGGCCAAGATTACACAGCTAGTTAGTGGCAGTCCCAGGACTAGAGCCAGGATCTCCTCCCTCCTAGGCCAGTAATCTATTATATTCTGCTACCTCAGAGATCTACCTGTTTCACTTTCTACTAAAATCGCATGTTCCCTCTATAATAATCCACCCCCCCCAAATCGTCATTCAGCCTCTGCTTGAAAACTTCTACCAACGGGAAACTTATTATTCTTTAAAGCAGCTCATTTACTTTTTGACCAGTTCTAATATTTAGGAAATTTTCCCTTATCCTAAACTATAACCTGCTTTCCTCGTTGGAGATGGTCCCCAATGGTCTAATCCAGTCCTTCATTTGGTGAGTGAGCAAATTATGTTTCAGAGTGGTTTAGTCCTTTGCCCAAGGTTCCACAATTAGGTGGAGAGAGGTCTGAAGCAGGGAAATCAACAAGGCAATTGTGGGCAATACCAGTGCCCCAGTCATTTTTGGATTTAGATGCTTCTCAAAAAAGACAACTCTTGGAGTGGTTAGGTGGTGCAGCGGATAGAGCTCCAGCCTTAGAGTCAAGAGGATCTGAGTTCAACTTCACCCTCAGACACTTACTAGCTGTGTGGCTCTGGGCAAGTCACTTAACCCCGATTGCCTCCAAAAAAAGCAAAAAAAGGGGGGGGGGGGGGAGTTAGGTGGCACAGTGGATAGAGCGCTGGCCTTGGAGTCAGGAGGATCTGAGTTCAAACCTGGCCTCAGACACTTCACATTTACTATCTGTGTGACCCTGGGCAAGTCATTTAACCCCATTGTCTACCCAAAAAAAAAAAGACAACTCTTTTTTGTCCACACTAATGCTAATAATTTCTGCAAAGTTATCCATAAAGAAGGGGCAAAAGAAAGGAAGCAGTACCATAGATAGCCTAGATTAGCATATAATGCAAAATTATTTTGCATTTATCTTTCAAATGCAGTATGGTATATATAATTCATAATATACACGTGTGTATATATATGTATGGTGTACTAATGTGACATCTTTTTATATGTACATGTATACATACAAAGATCTATAGCATATATGTAGGTGTATATGTGTGTGTGTGTGTGTGTGTGTGTGTGTATTCACAATAGATTTGACTTCATAATTTTCGGTCACATTAAGTTAGTCAATCAATAAACATGTATTAAGCAACTATTATGTGCCAGGCACCATGCTAAGTACTGGGAGGACAAAGAAGGGCAAAAGACAGCCTCTGTCCTTGAGGAGCTCACAATCTAACAGATTGAAGAGATCACAATCTAACAATGCAAACAACTCTGTATAAGCAAGTTATATACAGGATAAATAGGGAAAAATCAACAGAGGGAAGAATGAAGGGGAATCAGGAAAGGTTTTCTGTAGAAGGGGGATTTTAGCTGGGACTCAAAGGAATCCAGGGAAGCCAGAGGTAGAGATGAGGAGAGAGCGCATTCCACGAATGAGAGCTAGTCAGTGCAAATGTTCTGAGTCAGGAGATGAGAGTGTCTTATATGAGGAATAGAAAGGAAGCCAGTGTCTCTGGATCAGAGAGTTTGTGGAGGCTGGGAGTGGGGTTTGGAAGGGCTTTGAACACCAAATGGAAGATTATACATTTGATCCTGGAGGTGCTAGGGAGCCAGTGGAATTTATTGAGTAAGGGGATGACATGGATGGACCTATGCTTTAGGAAAATCACTTTGGTGGCTAAGTGGAGGATGGACTGGAGTGGGGAGAGACTGAAGGCAGGCAACCCAACAAACAGGCTTCTGAAATAGTACAGGCCTGAGGTGAGGAGAGTCTACATTAAGGTACTGTCATATCAAAAGAGACAAGGGGGTGTTGTCAGGAACTAACAGGCAACAGATTGCATATGTCAGGGTGAGAGAGAAGGAGCTGAGGATGACATCTAAATTTTGAGCCTGGGGGGCTGGGAGGATAGTGGTGCCCTTGACAGCAATAGGGGAGGGTGTAAAGGAGGGAGTGTTTGGAGGGAAAGATAATAAGTTCAGTTTTGGACATGTTGATTAAGATGTCTACAGGACATCCAGTTTGAGATGTCTAATAGGTAGTTGGACTTGTGAAACTAGAGGTCTGCAGAGACGTTAGGGCAGGAGAAAGAGATTTGAGAATCATCAGCATAGAGATGATAATTGAACCATTGGGAGCTGATGAGATCCCAAAGTAAAATAGTATAGAGGGAAAAGAGAAGAGGGTCCAAGACAGAGCAGCCCTGTGGAACACCACTGGTGAGCGAGTCCAGTAAAAGAAACTGAGAAATGGTCAGATAGATTGGAGGAGACTCAGGAGAGAACAGTCATGAAAACCTAGATAGAAGACAGATCAAAGAGAAAAGGGCGACCAACAGTGTAAAAGACCTCAGAGAGGTCAAGAAGGATGAGGATGAAGAAAAGGCCCGTTGGGTCGGGAGCCATGGTAATTTTGGAGTGAGAAGTTTTGTTTGAATGCTAAGATCAGAAGCCAGGCTACAGTAAGATAAGAATGAGAGGAGAGGAGGGGAAGTGGAAGCAGCTTTCTGAATGAGTTTAACCGCAAAAGACAGGAGAGAAATGGAACGATAGTTAGCAGACACGACTGAGATCCAGTGACGGTTTTTGAGGATGGTGGAAATATGGACATGCTTGTAGGGAGCAGTGAAGCAGCCAGTAGACAGGGAGAGATCGAAGAGAAGTGAGAGAGTGGAGATAAAAACGGGGTCAATCTGCTGGAGTCCTTAAACACACTCCAGCAGATAGCAGGGGAAGATGGGGAGGAATGCATTGGGCGCCAGGACGGGCCGGCTCTGGAAGAATCCTTCTGCCGCACAGGGTCCCTCGTTTACAACAGGAAGTTGTTTTCCCTTCAGAGGGGTCCAAGGTTAATAAGATGTGGAGAGAGAAGGAAGAATCTTTGGGTTTCTCCAATCTCCTGCCTCTTCTGGGAGGTTTATAGGGAGTAACCTACTCAAGTCTTTCTCTGGTCTTGGGCTGAAGGTATCAGGATGGAGTGGGGCTGCAGCTCCTGCTTCAGTGTCCGTTTTCTCTCTGTGCTGGGCATCGAGATGCCCGTTCCAGCCTGAACTTCCAGGGTGCTGGTCATTCTCCATATTTTGTAGCTGCTGTGGGCACAAGAGACAGACAATGGGGACACATCGGCTAGAAGAGAAGAACTGAGGTTTCCAGAGTCAGAGACCTATAGGAAAGTAGGCATAATCAGTGTCACATTCATATGATGCTTTAAGACTGACAACCATTTTTATACGTTATCTCATTTAATGTCTCACAACAAAACTGTGAGTTAGGTAGGTAGGTGGTGGTAGAGGTGGGGGTAGTAGTAGTAGTAGTAGTAGTAGTGATAGTAGTAGTAGTAATAGAAATAATAGTAGGGTTATTAGACCCATTTTATAGATGAGGAAATTGTGGCTGAGAGGCTAAGTGACTTCTCAGGATCACATAGCTAGTAAATGTCTGAGGTAGAATTCAAAACCAGGACTTCCTGATTCCAAGTCCATCTGTCTGTACACTATACCACCCACTGGTTTCTCCTAGTTCAGGCGGTAGGTGCCTATTGGGTGTGGCATCTTCCTCATTCTTGGTGGGGATGTATTCTAGGGTCCAGATCCAAACATTATTATCCCTTGAAAAGGTGTTGCCTAGAGGCTCCCAGGACCCTAATGGGAGGATTCATATTTTTGTTTTGAAAGCTAGAAACTTTCTTAAAGGGCAAAAAGAAGATATGCAATAATACTCTGTATCCTCCTGCCATGTCTTGCTAGAGTCATTATTTCCAAAAATCTTTCACAACCATGTTCATATTATCTTTACATCTTCCTCTAATATCCTTACAACCTTATAATAATATCTAATATTTATATAGTACATTGTGGTTTGCAATACACTTTACATCTAGCATTTCATTTGATACTCACAACAACCCAATGAAGTAGGTTCTATTATGACCCCACTGAGGGTGAAATAGGTGAAATGAATTGTCCAGGGTCACACAGCTAGCAAGTATGAAAGGCAGGCATCACTAAGGTCTTCTGACTGCAGGTCAAGAGCTTTATCCATTATTGCCACTTGGCAGAATCATTCTCCCTATTTTTCTTTACCTTGGCCAGTCATTTATTCTTTTTTTACAATTTAATTTAATTTATTTTTCTGTCAAATTTTAAGTTCTGAACTGTCTCCCTCCCTCCTTCCCCACCCCATACTAGAGAAGTCTACTATTTGACACACACACATACACACATACATATGTAAAACCATACTATGCATACTTTTATTTATCAGTCCTTTCTCTGGAGGTGGATAGTGTTTTCCTTCATAGGTCCTTTCTAGTTGATTTGAGTATTTATAGAACTCAGAATAATTTAGTCGTTCACCGTTTTTCTTTGAACAATATTGCTGCTACTGTTTTATAATGTTCTCTTGGTTCTGCCCATTACATTCTTCGTTATTTCATGTAAGTCTTTCCATGTTTTTCTAAAATCAAGCAGCTCATCACTTTTTTTTAAAGCACAGTAGTATTCCATCACAATCATACGCCACAACTTGTTTAGTCATTTCCCAACTGATGGGCATCCCCTCCATTTCTCCCTATTTTTCAGGTAGGGAATCCAGATAAGACAAACAACCTACCAGAGGTGAAATGTTACATATGGTTACGTAGTATCTTTTCTCCTGCTCCTTAGAAGGTACAGGATGCCCTGTTCTCTTGCCAGTCCCATGGAGGCCATTTAGAGAGGTATCTCATAATATCAGAACCATAGTCTGACCCAAATCTTTCTGAAGACTGTTGGTTCTTCCAGCCATGCTCATGAAATCAAGGGGTCTGGTTAAGTCAGCCAGGCAACTATGCCAACAGATACTCAGCTAGCCTCTGGTCCATATCTTGGTATTCATCTACTGGGGATTCTCTCCCCTGGGCCCCAGAAGCTATAGTTACCATTTGGCAGAGGCAAGAACTGAATCCAGGTCCCCTGGCTCCAAATCCAATATTCTTTCCTTTGCACCACATGGTATCTGACACCCGCCTTCTCTCTAGCTTTGGAAGAAAGGTAGGTATAATAAAAAGCATTCCTTATACTGGGGCAGCTAGGTGGTGGAGTGGATTGAGTGCCAGGCTTGGAGTCAGGAAGACTCATCTTCCTGAATTCCAATCTGGCCTCAGACACTTACTAGCTGTGCAACCCTGAGCAAGTCACTTAACCCTGTTTGCCTCAGTTTCTTCATCTGTAAAATAAGATGGAGAAGGACAAGAAAACCCCAAATACAGTCACAGAGAGTCTGGAATGATTGAAACAACTCAACAATGGCAACAATATTCTTTATATTAACAAGTTTATAAAAGCAAAAGGTTTCAGAAGGAATGGGGGGATGGGAGAGAACAATAGCAACACACCCATTCTTGGAACTCGATGTTACTCCCTGTCTCCACCAAAAGGTTTCACCACACGCCTCTACTTACTAATCAGTTAGCAATCTTTCTCTTACCAGCTTCCCCAGATGTTCAGCCTGTCTAAGAAGTCCTTTCTCCATGAGTGTAGAAGAAGGGTCTGGGTTTTGTTTTAGGTCCCACAGGGTAGTCAGAGTCAGAAGCCAAGAGAAGGTTTCAAAGGAACTACTGTACTTAAAAGCAGGCATACTTTTGTAGGAAAATCAATGACCAGCTAGCAAACCATGTCAAAAAATACTGACCTGAGGCCTCTGGGGATAAGGTCTGTGTGTGTCCACGGTCAGGAGAGACGCTGTTGGATTTCACATCATTTCCTAGTCTTTCTGAAGTACAGTTGTGTTCTTTTTCTGCTTTTCTCTGACTTCCTTATTCTACAAGTAGGAAATAGGCTGTGTATTTGCTGAGATCCCCTTAGTTTGATTGGCTGGCAGGCTGGGGAGGGTACAGAGCCTGGACTCAAAGTGAAAGGTTCTGCCCATAGCCATTTCTCCTGACTGGAGACACAGTAACTCTGTGAGCCAAGGATTTCTGTTGGTTTGTTTTTTCTAGTGTGTATTCTTATCTAAAAGCTGCATATTTTTCTCTCATTCCAGAAACCAATCTTCCTGTTTGTTAGGCCCCCTTCTATGTTAATACTGGAAAGCATGGGCCGTCCTGAGTGTTGCTTAGCCTCTGTTTCCTCATTTGTAAAATGAAGATAATAACAGCACCCATCTTACAGCATTATTGTAAGATCAAATGAAATAATATATGTACCATGTTTTACAAGCCTTAAAGCACTTTATAAAGTCATTTCTAGCATTTCTAAGTTCTATGAGTTGTCTCTATACCCTAGGGATCTTTATAGCTGAGGTTCTAGACAAAAAATGGGTTTGCTGCCTTTGGGTTCAGCTCAATCATAAGTCGTAGATGGCTAGGTAACACACCCAGATAGAGTGTTGGAGTTGGAATCAGAAAGGCCTGAGTTTGAATCCTGCCTCTGATGCTTAGTAGCTGTGTGACCCTGGGCAAGTTATTCTCAGTTTCTTTATCTGTAAAATGAGGATAATAATAGCACCTACATTCTAGGGTTGTTGTGAGAATCAAATGAAATAATATTCCTAAAGCTAATATTATAAGGATCAAATTAGCTAATATTTCTAATATTTCTGTGCTCACCACATAGTAGGCTCTTTAATAATGAATGCATATTACTGGGAAATAAGATATACAGACAATGGGGTATAGAAATCTATCTTGCCCTACTGGAAAATAGAAGGGGAAGGGAATAAGAGAAAGGGGGATGATAGAAGGGAGGGCAGATTGGGGGAAGGGGTAATCAGAATGCACGCGGTCTGGGGGGGGGGGGGGGGGGGGAATAGAGAGATGAGTAGAAAATTTGGAACTCAAAATCTTGTGGAAGTGTATGTTGAAAACAAAAAAATAAGTTAATTAATTAATAAAAAGAAGAAGAAGAAAATAAATGCACATTGCTACTGCTGTCTCCATGGATGGTTAGTTATTCTTCCTCCTGTTAAATGTGATTGAATACTCAAGAAAATAATAATGGCTCACATTTATATAGTATTTAAAGGTTTTCAGAGTGCTTACAAACGTTATTTCATTTCATAAGTCTTGTGAGGTAGGTGCTGTAAGTATCCTCATGTCCATTCTATAGGGAAGGAAAATTGAGATTCAAAAGGGTTACAAGGTCACATGACTAGTAAGTGTAGGAGCCTGGGATCTGAACAGAGCTCTCTCCTGACTCCAAGTTCAGTACTCTTTCCAACATTGGTCCCAACTTTGTGTTTTTTTTATTCAGCCTCTTTCTCACTCGTCATAATATGGCTTCAATTATCACCTGTTTGCTGATACTACTGAAATTATATCTCCAAATCTAACCCCTCAGCCCTTCTCCAGTCCCAAATTTCAAGCTGTCTTCAACGCATTTGAGTACTTTGCAAAACAGAGAGCACTACCTTGTTGTCGTTCAGTTCTTTCAGTCTTGTACAACTCTTTGTGACTCCATTTGGGGTTTTCTTGGCAAAGATACTGGGGTGGTTTGCCATTTCCTTCTCCAGCTCATTTTACAGATGAAGAAACTGAAGCAAACAGGATTATGTGACTTGCCCAGGGTCACACAGCTAGTAAGTGTCTGAGGATAGATTTGAACTCAGGAAGAGGAGTCTTTCTGGCTTCAGGACTGGCATTCTACCCACTGTGTGCATAGAGCACTACATAAGTTATATTATCATTATTATTATTATTATTGTTGTTATGCTAGGCAAGGTTTTTGGATTACAGTACACAAAGCCTTTTTCATTGGAAAAAGCACTGGATTAAAAACTAGAAAACCTGACCTGAGTTTCAGTCTTGGCTCTACTATAAACTAGGTATACGAGCAAATCATTAGACTTCTCTGGGCCTTAGTTTCCCTATCTGTAAGATAAGAGTGTTGGACTAAATGTTCTCTTAGGTCCACACCTTTCAGTTCTCATAGTCTATGTGATTCTATGAGTCTACAGTAGTTACCAATATAGAAAGAAAGCTTACTGAAAGGACTGATGACTGATCATTTGTATCAAGATGGTCTGCATAAGCTAATAACTCAGAAGGTGTTACTTCAAATGAAGAAGACCACATATTGTAACCCAACAACCTTGTCAATGAAGAAGGCTGTGTATTGTAACCCAACAATCTTGCCCAAGACCAAGCTGAACCCAAAGGCAGAACATTTCCTGTCTAGGACCTCAGTTATACAGATCCCTAGGGTGCAGCAACAATTCACAGAGCTTAGAAATGCTAATAACCAAGGCCCAGGATCTCAGCGACTTAGGACATTGATGCTGTTATCTTTAATGAGATCACAGAGATTTTGAAAGATCTTGGAAAGGTAGAGAATCCTCCAGCAGAGACTGTTAACTAGAATTCTGAGAGCTCAAGTTGTTTGGGAAAAGCTGTTTATTTGGGAATTCTAGGAGCCTTGAGGAAAGGACTTTTGTTCAAACTTTAGGGCATCATGCATGGAGGCAGAAAGGTAAGACTAAGGCTAAAGTAGATGATCCTGTGAACACACCAGAGAGGAAGAAAAAAAAAATAAGACAGCTGTGGGGCAGAGGAGTGGACCAGAGCTGATACGAGGCTGAATCTGCAGTTGTGACGGTATTGAGAACAGAGTTCAGTTAGAAACTCTTCTTTCATCTGCTTTCCCAGACCACAGAAGCAATGCTGCCTTTGAACCTCATCACAGCTGCTATGTTTTGCTTAAATGTTTATTTATTACTTGATTCTTCTGGTAAAATACCTAGACTTTAACAGTGATTGTTTTTGTTTGTTTGTTTGTTGTTTTGTTTGTTTGATTTTTTTTTTTAAGTCTAAAAGTATGTGGTTTGAAATTGAGAAAGGGAAAATTAGCGCATAGGAGAAGATATTTCCTCTATTTATTGTGGGGTGGGAGCTGAGCAATTAGAAAGAGAATCTTTGCAATTTTGGTAACTTCTGACCTAGTAGGCTACTTTTGAACTTGGATAGAGCACATTTATAAAGAAATGATCTAGTACCAGACTGGAATACTGATGCTGTTATCTTTAAGGGGATCACAGAGATTTTGAAAAGATCTTCTTGGAAGAGTAGAGAATCCTTGACCTGAGACTGTTAACTAGAATTCTAAGAGCTCAAGTTGTGTGTGTGTGTGTGTGTGTGTGTGTGTGTATGTGTGTGTGTGTGTGTATATGTGAGAGAGTCAGAGAGAGAGAGAGAGAGAGACAGACAGAGACAGAGAGACAGAGAGAGAAGTGCCAGAGATACAAAGGAAAAAACAGAGTCCCTGCCTTCAAGAAGCACACCTTCTAATATGGGAGACAACAAGTACATACAAGATAAATACAGTGTAGATGGGAGATAATCACAAGTTAAATGGATTGTTGTTTGCTGTGTGGAGCAGGGGCTGGAGGACCCAGAAAGGTTTCCTGCAGAAAGGAGAACTTGAGTTGGGTTATTGAGACAAGCCAGGAGGTGGTGGTGAGCAGGAAGATCATTTCATGCATGGGGCATTTCAAGCCAGGAAGACATAGGTTCAAATTCAGCCTCTGACACATATTGGCTATGTGACCCTGAGCAAATCACTTACATAATACAAAGGCATGGAGTCAGTAAATGAAGTGTCCTGTATGAGAAATAGCAAGTTTAGCTGGAAGGGAATAATGAAAAGAAAACTGAATAGACAGGAAGGAGCTAAAGGAAGTAAAGGAAGTGTAGAAAGTTGCCCAGCTTGAACTTGGAGGTCTTGGCCTCAGGGGGTCTGCCCACCACCCATCTAGTTAATTAGAGCTCTTCTAGTTGACTTCATTTTCTCACCCTTTTGCAGATATCCTGAAGGAAAGCCTGCTAGACCTGAAGAGAGTAAACTTGTCAGTCCACCTTGCTCCCCCAGAGAAAATGTTTTGGCTTTATCTTTAAAGCTATGTTTGAGCCTTTATTTTTTTCTCTTTAAAAGGGTAGGGGGAACTACCTGAGGTGTAAGCATGGCAGAACCCCAAAGAAGGAAAGTAACTTCCTCAAGGTCTGATGGTTAGAAAGTAGAAAGGTTGGGGTTTAAACCCAAGTCCTCTGAGTGCAGATCTCCTGCTCTTTCCACGAGGTCACCCTGCCTCTGAAGTCCAAACTCTGGTTCACAATTGTAGACCCTTCTGCATTCTTCTTTTCAGGTGTAAGACCTACCCCATTAGTGAGAGAGTTAACTCAAAGATGGCAGGGACTCTCTATCTTCCTTCTTCAGTCCCCTGTAGCTAACTCCCTGCCAGGCATAAAGTCTAGAAGAACAGAGAGAAAGGATCCCTAGCAGTTATTTCCTTCAACCCCCTCATTATATATAGGAGAGGAAACTGAAGCCCAAAGGGAGGGGGGATTAACTTGTTGGGTGAAAGAGCTAAATAATGACTAGTGAGTGGCAGAGATGGGCCATAATGACTTGGTAATTCTTAGGAAGATTCTTCTTTTGTTTACCATACTCTCATTAAGTCCACTGTAGATTTATTTATTTTTGGCCAGGATTTAAAAAATAAAAAGCCATTTTCAGCCACCTAGCATGTAACAAATTTCAATAAATATTTGATGAATGAAACTCATAAATTACCTAAACATAATTCTAATAGAGAGATAAATACCATAGTGTATGGGCTGACAAAAGGAGTTTTTGTGAGAAGAAATCCAGGTTTCAATAATGATAAATATTCCTTCATTTAAGTTACCAACCTTCAGTTGGATAAATAGTAACTGTAAGCCTTTTGGAGAAATGGTTATTCTGGGTTATTTAATTATCTCTGAAAGAAATAGCTCATCCAGTTGTTTTAATCAACTTTCTGGACATATCTGCTTAAAACATTGTGTGAACTGTAAAATTCAAAACTCATCTCTTCAAAAAACTCTTTTCCAGCATTTAGAAAACCTATCAAAAACACAAGGTGATCAGTTTTCAATGTTTTCAATTTTGATGTGCTTTTGCCAAATGTGTTATAATGAAAAAGAAAGGCAGCTACGACACTTCTACTCCCTCCAAAAACACAATGTTCTTTCAGTGTGGTAAAGTCGAACTGAATAAAACCTCAGATGAACATTTAGAGCAAGAAGAAACCTCAGAGATCACCTGAACCAACCTCTCTCCCCCTTTTACAACTAAGGAAGACAATAGTAGCAGAAACGAAGTTGGTTTTACAACCAGAGGATTGCAATCTGCCTTTATGAACGTGGTCAAATTAACTTTTCCGGGTTTCACTTTCTTCAGTTGTAAAAATGAGAGTACTGGATTAATGACCTTTGAGGTCCCAACTACATCTACGTTCCTAAGAGCTGGGGCCCGGAAGTTTAAATGACTCGCCCAACGTCACGTATTGGGCTGCCTTGAACTGAATTTCTCTCTTGGATTTTCTCCAAACCAGATGACCTCAGCTCTATATACGGAGAATTCAGAATACTGTGGCCTGCCTGTGGGCAACGATCACTTGGGAGGTTTGGTACCAAATATCATTCTGATCTGAGTTTACCCGGGGAAAGGCCATCGCACGTTTCCCGTGGACTCTGAAAATCAAGTTATAAAACATAGACGAAACTGCTGCTCGTCCCTGGCCCCCACACGTCCTAGGTACCAGTCTGAGAACACGGCTGGGTCTGACTTCCAGTGTGTGTGCATGGGTGGGGGTGCCTTATCCCCAGACAGGAAGCTGCGAGGGCGGGGAAGTTCCCAGCCCGGGCCGACCCGCCCCAAGCAGCCCGGGGTTGAGGGGTGGGAGTAGCAGGGATGGGGCGGAGCTGGCGCGCCCGAGCTCAGTTCTCAGAGCCCGGGTAGTAGGAGGCAGACGGCAGCAGGCGGAGTCAATCTGGCGATCTGGCAGGTGTGTGCGCGCTGGGAGTGGAGGGCTCTGGGGGACTGTCAACTCCTGGTCTCGGGTAGGGAGATGTCCCCCTCTCCCCCAACTCACTTCGGATCTCCCTTTTCTTCATTGCCCTGGGTGGCTCAGGGTGGGAGGAGCATGGAGCAGTCCTGGGAACCAGGACCCCCGGCTCCTCCTCGTCACAACTTAGGATGTGGCTGCCTTAATGGGTTGTGACCGCACCGTGGACAGTTCCGCCTGTGGAAGGGGCAGGGAATGTGAGGAACATTTGCGAGACCCCCAGGTCACATTCCGGCTGCATTGTACTTCTGCCGAGGCGGGAACTGTGGGGCACAGCCACGGTGTGAAAAATGATTGGATTAATCAATCAACAAGGGTGTATTAAGTGCATACTGTGTGCTAGACTTCGAGCTAGGCCCTGGGGATGCAAATGCAAAGACTGAAACAATTCCTGATCTTACAAAAGGAAAATAGGCATTTCTTGGAGTGGGGGCGGCGGGGGGGGGCGGTGATTTTAGTAGGGAAGAAGCTTACGAGGCGCCGCTTTGCTCATAGCCCAAGTGCTCCAGTGTGAAAGTTGGGTTGTTGTTATTTAGTCGTTTTTCAGTCGTGTCTGGCTCTTGACTCATTTTGGGAGTTTTCCATTTCCTTTTTCAGTTTTTTTTTACAGATGAGGAAACTGAGGCATACGAGGTTAAGGGAATTGCCTAGAGTCGAACACAGCTAATCAACGTCTGAGCTCCGATTTGAGTTCAGGTTTTCCTCCCTCTAGGCCCAGCACTCTTATTAGCTGCCCCACAGAGCTTTATCTTATATTTGCCGGATCACCCTGATCCCTTCCACCAGGCTAGCAGCAAGGAATGGCTGGCCCTCCATCCTGGGAAGAACGCTTCTTCCCCACAGTATTGATGGAGCTGACAGGAAGTTGTAAGTGCCATAGGACAAGCTGAAGGCCTCCAGGTTCTGCCCCGCAATGGAAAGGGTGAGTGGGATTCAGGAACTATTTGAGGATTGGAGGCATGACCCTTAGGTACCATTTTTAGGTCTTACCCTCTCCTGCATTATCCATGGTGCCCTTAAGCTCCAACCTGCTCTGGATTTCAGTGAGCAGTACCTGTATCTCCTGTGTAGAGGGAGAAAAGCTCATTTGGTCCTTTGGATATTTTCATTATCACATTCTTGCTGCTCAGGGCTCTTGGATATTTCTCTTCCACTGTCTATTTTGCTCTGGTTGGCATGGATTGCTGGAGATCATTTACTTCATAGGTTATTGTCTGCAGATAGGAATTGTAGGATAAAACCTTAGAAGTCATCTGTCCACCTCCCATCCAGGGAAGCAACTACCTCAGCAGCATCCCTGAAAGTGGTTCTTGCAACCTCTGCTGGAATATCTTTAGAGTTGGGAGTGCCCTCCTTTTCAAGGAAGCCCATTTTTCTCGATTGTTGGACAGCTCTCATTGTTGTACAAATTATTTTTTATATTGAATTGAAAGCTGTCCCAACCTACCTCTCTTGAATTATATATAATAAATCTAATCCCCCTTCCATATGACAGCATCAGATATCTGAAGCTATGGGTGTGTTTTTCTCTGTTTTAGACTAAATTGCCCCAGTTCCTCCTGTGATGAAATTTTGTGTTCTTTCATCATCTTAGTCATTGTTCTAGGGACGTGTTCAAATTTTTCAGTGTTCCTAACAAAATGTGTTACCCAGAACTGGACACAATAATTCAAATGTGATTTGTCCTCTTTAGCATCTCTAGAACACACCCTTTTCTCATACCACCACCAGTGTAGTTTAGGGCCTCCATCACTTCTAGTCTCTCCCCTCTCCAATCCCTTCTCCACACCACTGCCAAAGTGATATTCCTGGAGCGTGGCTCTGAACATGTCAGTCCTGTGCTTAGTTATTTGTATGCCATTTCCTTCATTAGAACATGAGCAGCTTGAGAGCAGGAACTGTTCTTGCCTTTTTTGTATTTCTGGTGTTATTATCATAGTGCCTGGCACATAGTAATCATTTAATAAATGTTTATTGGCTTGACTTCAGGGCAGGAACTGTCTTGAAATTTTGTATTTGTATTGTCGAACTTATCACAGTGCCAGGCAAAGAGCAGGTGCTTAATAAATGCTTGTTTGATTGTTTTAGACACTGTGCTTATAATAATGCAACCGAAGATGGTGTTAACTGCCTTTCCTAGTCTTCAGGTACTGGGCATCTGTAGAGAGGTGGCATGAGAACTCAGAGGAAATAATGATGGTAGAGTCCTTAGAGATCATCTAGTTTAAGTGTGTCATTTTAAAGAGGAGAAAAATGAAGTCCAGCAAGAGGAAATGATTATTAATAGTATTTATGGAATAAGGGCATACACCTGGACATGTTTGTGTTGGTGGGGAATTGTAGGAGTGAGAGCAGTTTTCAGATCTCTGGACTGCTAGGAGCTTTGGATTTGCCCTCTGGTCTCTGTCCCCAACCCATTACTTGAAATGGGTTCACCTTGACTATCCAATATGAGAGGTAGCTCCATGTAGAAGTGTGGTAGAAGGAGAGATGATCAAAGACAATAGTTGGCTCACTTGTGACAAAATGCTGTAAGGCAGGGGTGGGGAACCTGTGACCTGGAGGTTACATGTGACCTTCTAGGTCCTCAGGTGCAGCCTTTTGACTGAGTCCAAGTTTTATGGAACAAATCCTTTTATTAAGGGGATTTGTTCTGTGAAGTTTGGATTCAATCAAAGGTCCGAACTTGAGGACCTACAAGGCTACATATGTCCTCAAGGCTAGAGGTTCCTCACTCCTGTCCTAGATATTTTTTTCTTCTTCACCTAATTTGGATTTCTTAGCCAGTCAGTTTTTCTCCTTCTCCCTCCTAGGAGTTTCTGGTTAAGGGCGAAGCTTGTCATCAGCCAGGTCCAGACATGATGAGAATGAGACAGCTACCTTGAGAATCTAGTTTAAGGTTTGGCTTCCTGTGGCATGTATGCTAAAGGAAGCATATGCAGACTATGGAGAATCAGAAATGCAAATCACTGGGCCCACGCCATAGGGAAAAAATCAGGTACACCTGGATGTTACCGAAATTGAAGCCGTGCAGGATGTCAGCAGCAGAGTGGGGTTGTGGAATGACCAATCCTCTTTGTTTAATCTTCTGGTTTCTTTAAGGAAATGACTCCTTATGGCTCTTCCCTCTGAATTTCATGTGCTGACGTTAAATTGAAACTGAATTGAAGAATTTTGTTTCTTCATCTCTGAGGCATGTTCCTTCTCTTGTGATTCAAAGGGACAGAAAAATAAGCTAATAAAACAAGGTAAAAACAAATAGAGGATTTAGTCAGGAAAAGGCCAACAGCAAGTGGGTAAGGGCAAGGGTAGCAGGGGCAGTGTCTTCAAATATGTGAAGAGTTTTTGCAATGAATATGAATGATCATGTCTATTTTTTTCCATCATGGAGGAATGAACTTTAATTGCAGAAGAAATTGAAGTTCAATGAAAGAATCATAAGATCATAGTTTTAGAGCTAGGAGGACTTTAGATGATGATGAGTCCAACCTTTTGAGGAAACTGAGGCATAGAGATGTTAAGTTTCCCAGGAGTCATAGCTTATAAGTATCTGAGATAGGGTTTGAACTTCCTGACTCCAAGTTCAGAACTCTTAAGAACTCCCTGACAGTGTTACCAGGGACTGAAATAAGCCAGATTTTAAGATAGATTCGATATGGCTTTACTGGATGGTGGGAGGCTGGATGAGCTCATCCCTAGATCTTTGTCTGAGACCTGAAGTTCTTGGACAGGTGTTGGAGAGGCAGTGAGACTTCCCCATTGCTAGAAGGCAGGGCTCACATCCCATGGAACCAGCCTGACTGCCTCTTATGTGGGACACGTGGCTGCCTTGTGACAGAGTCTGGAGAGCTGTGGTCTCATCCTGGAGGGTGTGACCTTAATGGGCCCTCCCATCCTGTAATGGGCTTTGAAAAATGAAATAATGTTTATCCCCTATATCTTCTATGTGTGTCTGGTAGGTTTCTTGTGAGTATCTTTCCTATCTGTGTCTGTATTTCTTAGTATGTCTCTGCATCTGGGTGTGCTTGTTACATGTTTGTATCTCTGTGAATCTTGTATGTACCTGTTTGCCTCTGCCTATCTAGTGTGTCTGGGATTCTGGGCAAGGGATAACTCAGAGCGTGGATAAAAATGGCCTAGAATTTTCTATTTTTATTCCTTTTGTCTGGATATCAGGGCCTGGGGATGGGGTAATACCTGTGGGAGTGTGCTGGTTCATTCCTGGGCTGTTTCCTGAGATAGATGAGGACCTGTGATGACACTGTAGTGAAAGGAACAATATTCAAGTTCTTTCTTAAGTTTTTTATTTTATGTCTCCCCTTTGTGACTGTGAATCACTCTAGAATACCTTTCACTAATCTACCTACCTATCTTCCTACCCTTCCTGCTGCTTATCCTGCCACCTTCTGCCTGCTAGGGACGGTAGGGTATTAATGCTGGCAGAGGAAGAGTTTCCCTGGGAGGAAGAAAGAACTGACTAGAAGAAGTGAAAGGGAGAGAGAAAGAGAAAGAGAGAGACATACACAGAGAGACAAAGAGAGACAGACAGAGAGAGATAGGGTCAGGGACAATGTGCTGGATATGGAGTCAGAAAACTTGGGTTTAAATCCTGGCTTTACTGCTTATTATGCGACCTTGAATAAGTCACTTTTCTTTGGCCCTCAATTTCTTCTCTTAAATAAAAGATTTGGATTAGATAATTTCTAAGATGCTTTTTATTATCTTATGATCTTGTATGGGCTGGCAACCTGGTACAAGGGAAGCAGCACTAGTAGGGAGTTGGGAAACCTAAGTTCTTCTCATGGTACAATGGAAAGAACACAGCCACTGGAGTCATAGGATGTGGGTTCAAATCCTCTCTCTGATGCCTGTTATCTGTGTGGCCTTGAGTAAATTGTTCAAACTTTCCATGCTTCAGTTTCCTCATCTTTAAAATGAGGGGGTTGGACTCTGAAGTCCCCTATAGCTCTAAATCTGTGACCCTATGAGCCTTCTACTTCTGCCACTAACCAACTGTGTGATCTCTTGCAAGTCACCTCCCAGCTCTATGCCTCAGTTTCCCCATCTGTCACATGAGGATTTTTGACCAGATAAGGTCCATTCTGTGGTTTCCTGATTCCCATACAGTTCTATGCTTCCATGACCATGTTATTTTGTATTTTTGTTAGCATCTTTTGTTTTTATTAAAATACATTCACTTCTGAATATATTCAGAATATGTATATTCTTCCCGTGTGCTCCAATGAACCATCCCTTTAAACTCCAACAGCAATAAAAAATCCAACCAACTCATCACCACAGTATAATTTCATAATCTCCCATCTCTGCAGAGCCAGGAGAGAGGTGTATTTTCTCACCTCTTCTTCAGGCCTGACTTTCTTGATCATTATAATTACACAGTTTAAGGTTTCCCCCCAATTTCTATTATTATAAATATTGTATGTATTGTTTTCTTGGTTCTACTTAGTGCACACTACATTGGTCCATATAAGCCTTTCCATGTTTCTCTGAATTCTTCATGTTCACATTCCTCTACCACAGTTTGTTTTTCTCTAAATTTCTACCTCTAAAATCTACTTACTTTTTTTTTGCTACCCACAAAAAGTACTGCTATAGGTATTTTTGATGTATATTCCCTTATAATTTTAAAGGAAGTTCAAGTCTAAGGGCCCTTCTAAGGAAAGAGACTGTACTTCAGGTGGGAGAGATGATGGCTGGAGGAATGAGGGAGGGGCTTGTCAATGATGCTTTGTAGTTGGTCCAGTTTAAACTCCCTACGTCGAGACAAAGCCTCATATTTCCTTTTACCTTTTCCACTCACCTTCCTGTCTGGGCTTCATCTCATCTCCATTGTCACCCTCCTCCCCACTGATACGTAGTGGTGTATGCGTGTGTGTGTGTGTGTGTGTGTCTGTGTGTCTGTGTGTCTGTGTGTCTGTGTGTGTGTTTCAGAGAAGGCTATACAGCTTACTTCAGCCTCCTCTACTCATTGCCCTCCTCAATTAGCCCTCTCAGGTACATTGCAGTGAGGAGCTAGGCTAGGCTTTGCAATTGGGTCTGAAAGTGGATGTGCCAGAGGGCTCTTAGTATTTTTGTGTGAATCATCCTAGCTACAATTCTGGTCCTTGGACTGAGTGATCCCTTGCCTGACACTTGTGGAGAATTACTGGGGAAAGACAACACAGAGAGGGCAAGAAGATGGAGGGAGGAGGCACTTGTAGGGTTTTAGAATGAAGAAGGTGTAAACATAGAAACCTGCATGGAATTGTTCTGGGAAAGTTTTATGCAAGAGGTTTCTGTTTTTTCTTGCCATAGGGTGGGGACAGAGTTGCTCCTCCGTCTGTTTCTGTACTTTGTCCCTTTTAAGTTGGATGCATAATGGGAGCCAAGCCTACTTCCCAGGAGAACATATCTCATAGTTGTCTCCCTCAGGCAGATGCCTTTTTTGTTGTCCTGTTACAGCTCAGTTACCTCTTGTAAAACTGGAGGTAAGTGGTATCTGAGAGGTTGGGCAGCAGAGGCGTCAGAGCCAAAAGGAACCTTACAGAAGGTAGGGCAGAAGGTAAAACAAGGTCCCCAAAGCCAGCATGCTCAGTTCTAAGAGGTTATATTCCTATAGCAACTGTAGTAGTAGTAGAGTTAAAAGAAATAGGTCAAAATTATGTCTCTTCTACTCACTGTCTATGTGACCTGGAACAAGTTATTTCATCTTGCTGGGCCTCAGTTTCCTCATCTGTAAAATAAAGGGATTGGACTCAGTGGTTGATCTCTTCCAACTTTCAATCCTATGATAGTCTCCTGATTTGTATAGGACAAGAGAGAATTCCAGTCATTGGCTTTCAGTTTATCTCTGGAATGGGCGTACTGATACTCCCTGGACAAATGGTGTAACTTCTCTGCCTCAGTTTCCCCATATGGCTAAGTCTGGTTTTAGAACATTTGGTTTACTCTTCTAGGATTGATGATTTTGGGGAGTTTTCCTCTTTTGGTTTTGCTTGGCCTTTGTATATACAAACTCCCAGAGTGTTCCAACCCAACTGCCCCTCCCCATGAGGCAGAAAGCCAAAATCAGCATTGCTGTTTCTCTTAATTGCTCCAAAGGAGGAAGCAAGAAGTTTTTTCCTACCCTGATTTGAATTGGGGATGAAATTGGAGATTCATTTGTTCATGTGTTATATAAACATCAAGTGTAGGGCTCTGTGCTGATTCAGTAAAGGATGCAAAGGTGAATAAAACATATCCCCTACCTTCACAGAACTTATGATCTGTTTCTTGTTTCATCTCCAGTCTGAGAATATTTTTCACTGTTGTAGTTGGCAACATATCAACTCTTTGTTTGAACTCTTGAGTATAAGTAATAAATTTCTTATATCATTCTGTGAAATTTCCTTTGCTAGCTTGAGAATAGACTTTAATCTTTTCTCCAAAATAGCATTCCCCACTCCCCCTCCCCAATTTCCCCCGGACCTATTATCCAGAACGGACCTATTATCCAGAACGAAATAGGCACTAGATCTGAGATGCTTTGTGATTTTGTCAGGTACGAGCCTCGAAGCTGACTTTTCTTTTGGTCTAGATTCTGTGATTTCCTGGGGACTTGTAGGATGAAATCATCTGCCCATTCAGATGGGCAACTGAACTAAAAGTTCAGGTCTCCAAGAATTTCCTGGGGACATTAAAAATTTTATGGGACTTGCCCATGCTCTTACAGTTAGTATATGTTAGAAACAGAATTTGAATCCAGGCTTTCCTGACACTGGCCCTCAATTCCACACTGCTTCTCAGCTAACAATATGTAGATTGCAAAATGGCAGAACACAGAGAGATGGTATGTGTGAGTGAGTGAGTGAATGAGTGAGTGAGTGAGTGAGTGTTGTGTGCGTGTGTGTGTGCGTGTGCGTGTGCATGTGTGTGCGTGTGTGTGTGTGTGTGTGTGTGTGTAGGGGGGGAGAAGAAGATGGTGAGAATATGTAAACAGGACCTTTTACTAGTGCTCCATCATCAGGTATCCACAAATTGATATGTCCTGCTTTGTTGTATAAATGTGGGATTCTCAGGGGCAAGGAATGTTTTCATTTTTATCTTTCTATGCCCAACAGCTGGCACAATGCAACACACATGGAAAGTGCTTAACAAATGCTTGTTGAATTGAACTGAATGTGAGAATCTCCAGCAATTGGGTCTCTCCAAGAGGACGAGGTAGCTTGTGCCTTGTCAGGAGAGGATGGAGAATCAAGGGCCAGAGACTCTAGAAACATTCCCCAGTAGCCTGGCCCCCTACAGTTCTACCCAGCCAGTTGAGAGGAAGTCATCTCCTCCTATCCACCATAAGATGGTCCAGAGAGATTGATTGCAGGGAAAAATTATCAATATGATGGTAAAATATTTACTTCTAGGACTCAGGAAAACAGGATTAGATAATTTATTGGGAGTCAAGAGGTGTGGGTTATCGTCCTGACTCTTCTACTAACTGGCTGAATGGCTTTTGACTTAGCTACTTTCCCTTTCTGGACCTGTTGCCCCATCCATAAAACAAGCACACATAACCAGGGGGACCTCAGTTCTCATGTTCTATGATTTTATGATTCTCTAGTTCTTCATGCAGCAGCATTTTATCTCCTGAACTCTAGGCTGATGTTTGACTGTTCTCAGCCTGATTTTTTCAGAGAAACTCAGTATTTATTTCTCTTTCCTCCCTAGGATGAGAAATGTGCACACAAGAATTCTTCCAGGCTCAGCGGAGCCAGTTGGTGGGGCAGCTGGCCTTAAGGTCGTTGGAGAACTTTGAAAGTATCTTGGACTATCTGCTGTCTTGGGAAGTGCTTACTTGGGAGGATTATGAGAGTGTAAGCCTCCCTGGGCAGCCCCTGTCCACTTTGGCTCGACGCCTCTTGGATATTGTCTGGAATAAGGGCGGGCAAAGCTGTGAGCTGCTCTTTGCTGCAGTGCGGAAGGCAGAGGGAGCAGATGAGCAAACAGAACCAGAAAGCCAGTGGAGTCAGAATGTGTCCTGTCCAGTCCAGGACCTGCAGAGACATAGGCCGGTGATTGTCAGGAAAATCTATGGCCATGTGGAAGGCATTTTGAACCTCTTACTTGAACGTGGTTTCATCACCAAATATGAATGTGATGAAATCAGGCTGCCGATATTTACGTCATCTCAGAGGGTAAGAACTTGGATGAGAAAAAAATCTTGAGATGGATGTTTAACCACCAGAGAATATTGTACACGTAATCATCCCTACAAACCAGTAAGGGTCACAGGACCGGAGTGAAATAATCTATTAAAATGTTAATATAATGCCGTAGGAGGAATATCACAGGCTCAAAGGACCACAGATTTAGAGCTGGAGGAGACATTAGAGTCTGCTAGCCCCATCTCTTCATTTTACAGATAAATAAAATAATGCCTATGTGACATCAGGCAATAAAATTGGAGCACAACTTACGGTGACGTTATTATACATTTATATAGTGCATTTTTTGGTACTTTGCACAACTTTTCCCCAAAGTACTTTTATAGTATGTTACAACTAGGTGGTGCATCAGAGAAAGCACCAGGCCTGGAATCAGGAAGACTCATCTTCCTGAGTTCAAATCTGGCTTCAGACACTTATTAGCTGTGTGACCCTAGGCAAGTCACATACTTTGTTTGCCTCAGTTTCCTCATCTGTAAATGAGGTGGAAAAGGAAATGGCAAATATATCTTTGCCAAGCAAACCCCAAATGGGGTCACAAAGAGCCAGACACGGCTAAAGATGACTGAACAACAACAACACAGTAGAGAGAGCACTGGCTCTAGGCTCAGAGGACCCGGGTTCAAATCCCACCCCTGGTGATCACCACCTGTGTAACCTTGGACAAGTAATTCAAAATCCCTCGGTCTCCATTTCTTCATCTATGAAATGAGTGGGTTGTACTGAGTGGCCTCTTTGTTCCCTCCCAGAGCTAGCACTTGGATCCCGTAAAATTGATGCCCTTTTAATAACTTTGTCAAACTGTAAAAGCTGGCACTGTCTCCACTTATAGAGGAGGAGATCAGATCTTGGTGAAGATAGAGGACCTGTCTGAGGCCTATGTGTTTATGGCAGAGTTGGTATGAGAACCCAGGCTCCTTGGCTCCCACTCTGGGCTTAGGCCACTCATTCACAAACACCGCCTCCATGGGCGTGACCCATGGCATCAGGGTGAAGCAGCCCTGGATTTGAAGTCAGAAAAACCTGGCTATGAATTTTGGCCACTTGTTATCTGTGTGACCCTAGGCAAATTCTATTCCCCCTCTGCACCTCAGTTTCCCCATTTGAGGAGGCTGAACTAGATGACCTTGAAAGTTCATTCCAGCTCTTAATCCTACAGTTTTTTTTTGTTTAGACTCTGTGCCCTAGTGCCAAGTACAGTGCCTCGCAGGTAATGTGTGCTTAAAAAAATCCACGTTAGCTTAGATTGCATTGGATTGGACTGGATTGGCTCAACCTTTTTGATAACTGATAAATATTTGAGCAGAAGGCTAGGCACTGAATTACCTATGATTTCGTTAGTATAAGGAATTCCCAGGTGAAGAAACTACTTCTACCAATACAAATTGGCACCTTCTTTGCAACTTAGAGTACTAGGAAGGTGCCTAGAGCACTGAGAAGTTAAGTGACTTGCTCAAGATCACATAGCCAGTATGTGTCAGAGGTAGGACTTGAACCCAGATCTTCATTGTTTGGAGTCCAGCTCTTTGTCAACTACACCAAATATCTGTCTTCACAATTATTTTAAAACTGGCAAGAGGTGTGTGTATGTTTACCCAGCAAACACCATTTATTCCATTCTAATTAAGTCAAGTTCTAATAAGTTCATGAGTATTTGTTGAATATCTACTATATTTCCAGCACTGAGGGGATACTGAGTCAGATGCCATAGTCCTTGCCTGGAAGGTGCTAATAGCCCCATGAAACAACCAAAGACCAGGACACAGCATGTGATCAAGTATATGGATTTCTATAGCCCAGAATCTAAGAGCTATAAGAATTCAGAGATAGAAGAGATCAATGTAGGCTTGTTATAGAAAGTATTAAAGAGGAGGCTGGTACTTGAACTGGGCCTTCAAGGAGGGCAGTTTAGGTAGAGAGAAGATGGGAAGAAATCTCTGGGGGAAGAAGCAGCATGAGCACAAGCACGGAGTTATAATGGGAGGAAGCAGCCATGGAGAAGAGGGGTGGTGCCCCTGGCAGGAGCAGGGGCTTGCTTGATAGAGATGACTTTGACCAAATTAGCGCCTATCTCTGGGCCTCAGTTTCCTAATCTATAGAGTGGGTAGAAGAGGCAGAAATAGATGATCACTGCTATCTGTTCTAATTCCAGATCATATGATTTGATGAGAGGTAGGATAGTGTCAGCTAGGTGGAGCAATGGATAGAGCACTGGGCCTGGAGTCAGGAAGACCTAAGTTCAAACCCAGCCTCAGATACTTACTAGCTATGTGACCCTAGGAAGCCACTTCACCCTGTTTGCCTCAGTTTCCTCATCTGTTGAATGAGCTGGAGAAGAAAATGGCAAACCAGTCCAATATCTTTGCCAAGAAAACCCAAAAAGGGTTCTGAAGGGTCAGACATGACCAAAAACAACTGAACAACAATAGGGTAGGGTCAGATGATAAGATTGTGGGATCCCAGGATTTAAGGCTGGAAGGGAATGTAGAGATCATCTCTTTCAACTCATTCATCTTCCAGATGAGGATGGTGAAGTCTAGGGATAACTTCTCAGTGACTTGCCTGAGGTTAACATGGGTAGCAGGACCAGGATTCATCAAGGGACTTGAGTGAACAATATAGGCTTGTATTTTCAGAAGCAAATGCTCCCATTTTATAGGTATCCTTCTCTAGTTTCTCTCTGACTTAGTATCAGTGAAGTGTCTGGAGTATGTTGGTAGTGACAGCAGAGAGAGGTAAAGAGGTGCTAGAAAGGCAAATGGTTTGTCTCCCAAATCCGTCAAAATGGGGCCTTTCATTTTTCTGGAACCAGCCATGTCCCTTGGTTGACATGCTATATGCAAGAAGGACTGAACAGCGTCAAGGGAGTAATACAGAATGTATATGACAGAAAGAGAAACTACCGTGAAGAAATACAGGTTCGCTTAAGGCTTTTCTCGCCAAAGTTACTCAGCTGGGTATAAACAGGCTATTAGGAAACAGGAGCTATGTAACACCAGCCTGATTCACTGAGCTCTTAACACAGTGGGGACTGGGCTATCAGTCTTAGCTCAGATGCTCTTGGCATTAGTCATAATATTAACTTTAAAAAAACTCCTAATCTTTTCTTGGCATTTGATTGTGGCAGAGAAGGGTAGTGAAATCATAATAATCAGTCAAACACTTTTCTTTGAGTCATTTTGTGTGAACTTGAATGGTTGTGTAATGGGCTTTTTGTGATTCTCAAAGGCAAGAAGGCTCCTTGATTTTGCAAAAGTAAAAGACAATGGAGTGGCCCAGTTTCTCCTCCAACACATCCACCAATTGCCTGTCCTGCCAGCCCCATTCCCTGATGGTATGTATGTGTTTCTCAGTTCGCCAGAAATAGAAGGATCTTTTCCACAACGTAAGCTGTTCTTGGGAGAAGGAATTCTGGGTGGTTAAAAAAATGGCCAAAGCGGCCTTGCCTCTCCGGCAACATCACTGAGAATGCTTATTGTCATTGAAAACATTGATTACATGCTGAGTTGTATATGAGGCGCGGCACAAAGAGGGCACAGCTCTGTTTCCTGACTGCTGGGACTGTAATAATAAGACCTCGCGTTTATGTCACACTTTAAGGTTTGCAAAGCATTTTACATGTGTTATCACATTTTATTCTCAAAACAACCCTGGGAGGTGTTATTGTTATTCCCATTTTACAAATGAGGAAATGGAGGCTGAGAGGCATTAGGTGACTTGCTCAGGGTCACACAGCTAGTAAGCATCCAAGTCTGGATTTGAGCTTAACTCTTCCTGACTCCAGGATCATCTATCTACTATGCCATCTGACTGCCTCTAGCTTGCAGTCTTAGGCTGACTGATGCTGTTGTATAAAGCCATAGAAAGACCAACCATAACCATTAAAGTAATACACTAGGGGGAAGATGTATTAAAGTAGTTAGAGCAATATACCAGCATACAGAGCATGGAGATCCATTGGGGTAACTAGGTGGTATGGCTGATAGAGTGTTGGACCTAGGGTCAGGAAGACCTGAGTTCAAATCCGGCTCCAGCTATATGATCCTGGGAAAGTCACTTAACCTCTATTTGTCTCAGTTTCCTCATCCATAAAATGGAGATAATACTAGTACTTGCCTCCCAGGGTTGTTGTGAGGATAAAATGAGATAATAATTGTAAAGCGTTCAGCACAGTACCTGGCACATAGTAGCCATTATATATATATATATATATGTTAACTATTATGGTCATCATTATTACTTAATACAGTGCCCTCTATACATATTGGTAGTGTGTCCCAGTGGAAAGAACACCGGATTTAGACATAGAAGATTTGGGTTCAAATTCTGGCTCTATCACATACTTCTTGGGCAAGTCACTTAACCTCATTGGTGTGTTGTTTCCTCATCTGTAAAATGTGAGGGTAGAGTAGGTGGCTTCTGAGCTCCCTTTCAGGCCTAGATCTATTATTCTATGATCATTAAAAGAAAATTTTACTTTCTTTGAAAATTTTGAGATGGTCTTTGGCGTATTCAGAGGCTATTAAAATAACTTATCTCAGGAACAAGGGCAAACACGTGCAAAGTCCATTGCTTTGACTCAAGATGCTGCTGTGTTGATTGCCTTTAGAGCATGAGCAATCCTTTAAGTAAGCTACTAGGTTGAGAAGAGCGGCAATTTGACAGTCTGCTAATTTAATGGTTGACTAGTTGCAAAGGAAATATTAAATCTTTCATTGAGTGCACACAGCACTTTGTTTTGCAATTTTATAATGCATTTGTCATGTGACATTGTATGGCATGGTTGTCTGTGTTGTGTCTCTCCCCCACTAGACTGAAAGTTTCATAAGGGCAGATGCATGTCTGAATTTTGTATCTTGCCCAGCATCTACGATTGATTTTTTTGTTCAGTCATGTCCAGCTCTTCATGACCCCACTTTGGGTTTTCTTGGCAGAGATACTAGAGGGATTTGCCCTTTCCTTCTCCAGCTCATTTGACAGATGAGGAAACTGAGGCAAACAGGGTTAAGTGACTTTCCCAAGGTCACACAGCTACTAGTGTCTGAAGCCAGATTTGAACTCAGGAAGATGAGTCTTCCTGACTCCAGGCCTGGTACTCTATCCACTGCACCACCTAGCTGCCCCATATTCTCTATACAGTAAGCAATAAATGTTGAACAAATGAATATGTGAATGAATGATTATACTTAGAGGACTCTGTCAGTGTGAGCTAAATCTTTGGAGTGTCCTGCTCTCCTTACCAGAACTTTGAACAGCTCATATATCCAGAAAGGGGAACTGTGTTAAGACATGGGAGGTTATTTATTTAGACTTCTCAGTTAATAAATCTTGCCAAGGACAGTTTCCTGAACATTCCCTACTCATGACATTGCTTATTCAATAGTGTTTTATGATAAAATGAACTGAAAATGAAGAAATCCAGGCCACCCCTCTATGTCAAGGCACAAAACATGGGCCAGACAAAAGTTAGACAGGTCAGGCACCTCTGAGCTTTCCCTGTGCCCCTTGTCTCTGGCTCTCCCTCTATCACTCCCTGCCACATATACCTTTCTCTTTTCATATCTCCTTTTTCTAATTCCCTCCTTACATTTTCATTACATTTTATATCTCTTTTGTCAATGCTTCAGATCTACAATAGCACATTCCTAGGCCCCATGGATTGCACTGGGGACTAAAGGGTTTGCTGACCCAAGGTTTGCTGACCAGGGTGATTCAGGATGTGATTCAGTGATTCAGATGACTTCTCTGAGAAGGAAATTCCCTGTAGCTGTGGTCCTGTACTTCCTAGGGATATCCTAGGTATTCTTTTGGCCTGTGGGAAGGCAGTATTTCTAAGCTTAGATTAACATTTAACCATTTATGATGTAAATAACTCTGTGCTCCCTAGGGAAGCCAAGTCTAGCTAAGTCAACATTCATCACTTCCTATGTAGGATCCTATTTTTATCTGTTTCTCTTTCTTCCAGCTATTGCGTGTAAGAAGTACATGGCCAAGCTGAAGGCCACAGTTTCTGCCCAGTCTCGTTTCCTTAGCACCTATGATGGCACCGAGAACCTATGCCTAGAGAACATATACACAGAGAACATCTTAGAGATTCGGAAGGACCTTAGTGTCAGTGCATCCAGCCAGAAGTGCCATGACGCCGTGGAACTCCCAGACATCTTCAGTGACAGTGATTGCATCAATGAAGATGCTGACACGGTGCTTTTGGTGGGAGAAGCCGGCAGTGGGAAGAGCACACTCCTACAGCAGCTTCACCGCCTCTGGGCCACGGGCCGGCACTTCCAGGATTTCCTCTTTGTCTTCCCATTCACTTGCCGGCAGCTGCAGTCTGTGGACAAGATGGTCTCCATGCAGACCCTACTGTTTGAGCAGTGTTGCTGGCCGGACGAGGGCCAAGAGGAGGTCTTCCAGTACCTGCTAGATCATCCCGACCAGGTCTTGCTCACTTTCGATGGGTTTGATGAATTCAAGTTCAAGTTTACAGACAGAGACACACACTGTTCCCCAAATGACCCTACGTCTGTCCAGAGCCTGCTGTTCAACCTTCTCCGAGGCAATCTGATGAAGAATGCCAAGAAGGTGCTGACGAGCCGGCCCCATGCCGTCTCCGCTTTCCTCAGGAAGTATGTGCAGAAGGAACTGAGCCTGAAAGGCTTCTCCCAGGAAGGGATTGAGCTGTTCATGAGGAAGCATCACAGTGACCCTGGGGTCGCGGACAGGATCGTCCATCTGGTGAAAGCCACCTCGGCCCTGCACGGTTTATGCCATGTGCCAGTCTTCTCCTGGATTGTGTCCAAGTGTCACAAGGAGCTCCTGCTGCATGGCTGTGGCTCCCTGAAGACGACCACAGATATGTATCTTCTGATCCTGCAGCATTTTGTGCTGCACGCCTCCCCTGATGATGGGGGGTGGCACCCCAGGACTACTACCCTTCAGCCTCGGCTCCCTACCATCCTGCACCTGGGCAGACTGGCCCTGTGGGGCCTGGGCACTTGTAACTATGTGTTCTCTGCAAAGCAGCTCTGGGCATCTGGGGTGGATGAGGAGGACCTTTCCTTGGGCTTCCTGGTTCGATCGAAGAGCTTTTCTCAGGAGAGCTCGGCTCCTATGGAATTCCTGCACATTACTTTTCAGTGCTTCTTTGCTGCTTTCTATCTATTGCTTGGTGCTGATGTCACCCCCTCAGTGATCAGATGCTTGTTCAACCATCACAAGAAGCCCAGTCGATCCCTGGCTTGGCTGTTTCCTATGTCCTGTGTCCAGTCCCCTGAGGGAGAGGAGGAGAGTGTCACAGCCCTCCTGCAGAAAGCTGAACCCCACAACATCCAGATCACTGCCGTTTTCCTGGCTGGCCTACTGTCCCACAAGCACTGGGGCCTATTAGCAGAGTGCCAGGAGGCCTCCACCCCACTCCTCCAGAAACAGAGCCATGTCCGGTGGTGCCTGGCCCGAGGGCTCAAGAGACACTTCCAGTCTATTCCACCAGCTGTGCCTGGTGAGGTCAAGAGTATGCATGCCATGCCTGAATTTGTCTGGTTGATCAGGAGCCTCTATGAGATGCAGGATGAGCACCTGGCCCGGGAAGCCGTGTGCAAACTGGAGGTTGGGCACCTGAAGGTGACTTACTGCAACATTGGTCCTGCGGAATGTGCTGCTTTGGCTTTTGTGCTGAAGAATCTCAAGCAACCTGTGGCCTTACAGCTGGATTACAATTCAGTGGGAGACATTGGCGTGGAGCAGCTCCTGCCGTGCCTACGCATCTGCCAGGCTCTCTAGTGAGTGCTTCATTTAGCTGCTTTGGAATGGCCTGTTAACACCCTGGGCCTTTGGGAGAGGGGACTCAGAAGCATGGGAGTGAGAGCTGGAGGGGACCTTAGAGTTTGTGACATTTAAAGAGTTCAAAAGACATAATTTCTGGGTCATTAATCATTTTATTAATAATGCTAGCATTTAATAATATAAGTGGTCAGTGGCACTGTTGCATGCCAAAGGCCTTCGTGGTGGTGGGCTTGCAACTTATATAGCCTTGGAAAAATGGGTGTTCCTGAAGGTATCAATCAACTACAGTTGGTTAACAATTAATGAGAAAATGAATATTATAATGAGATGTGGGCTCATTCTAATGAGAGTCTTGGGGGTAAGAGACTTAGCTCACCCAAGTCTTGGGCAAAGAGACTTATCAATATACATATCAAAGAGAGAATTCACTTCTACCCCAGACCTGTCTGACTAAACACAGTGAACAGGAATTCACCAATTCTCTTAGCTAGGTTGGGCAAGTTTTCCCCAAGATTCCCACACTGTTTGATTTTTGGGCGAGGAAGTAGAAAAGGGGGAAAAAACTTGGTCCTAATTCCATACAGTTATTAAATACAAGAGAGAGGGGCAGCTAGGTGGTGCAGTGGATGGAGCACCAGCCCTGGAGTCAGGAGGACCTGAGTTCAAATGTGGTTTCAGACACTTGACATGTACTAGCTGTGTGACCTTAGGCAAGTCACTTAACTCCCCACTGCCTTGCAATGAATGAATAAATAAATAAAATTTTAAAAAATACAAGAGAGAAATAATCATTTCTCTCAAGTTCCTCTAGTCCAGGGGTTCTTAACCTTTTTTTGTGTCATGGACCCCTTTGGCAGTCTAGTGAAGCCTATGGACCACTCCCCAGAACAATGGTTTTAAATAAATAAAATAAAATAAAATATATAAAGCTACAAAGGAAACCAATTATAATTAGTTATGATATTAAAAAAATAGGTTCACACACTCCAGATTAAAAAACTCTAATTATAGGATCTTAAAGGTAGAATCTGAAGGGAGCTCAGAGGTTGTCCTATCTAACCCCTCATTTTATAGACCAGAAGAGTGAGGCCCAGAGAGGTTAAATTATTTACCTAAGGTCATATAGGTAGGAAGTAGGTCAACCACTTTATTTTAGGAAGGATAAAAGAATGAAGTTATTTTTCCCAGAGCAACAAAGTGAGTTCGTAACAGGGCTGCTTTATAGCATACCAAACTCTCCCTCACCCCGCAAATAGCTATGCCCATCTTCCTCTGAATTATGCCAAGAGAGTTCATTAGAGGCTATGAGTGTGGTTTTATTTTTCAAAATCCAAGGAAATGGTGGCCTAGATCTCTTGGCTTAGATGAGCAGACTGATTTTCCTTTAGGAATTTAATCATGTTGTATTCTACTCCGTCTTACTCCTGTATTTATAGCCCTAGCACCTATCGTCATGCGTCGTGCATAGTTGGATCTTATTGGTTAGTTTCTATTTCTGCCAGTGCAGGAGGATATTATGGACTGAAATAGCCATAGCTATCTAAAAACCATAACAAACCATAGGGTGCAGTGTGGGCATTTCCTTAATTTTTTTCTGTCAAATAGGATAAGGGGGCAACATGGTATCCTCTATCCCGCCAACAAAGGGTCATTTCTTAGTTGTCAGTCTTTCTTCCCCAAACATTTTATTTTTTTCCATTTACATGTAAAAAGTTTTTAACCTTTTTTTTAAATTTTGAGTTCTAAATTTTTTTCCCTCTCTACCTCCCCTCATTGAGAAGACAAGCAATTTGACATAGGTTATAATATGTCAGTCTTTAGTCTTGGAACTCTAGAAAACCTTATTAAGAAGCAATAACTTTATAGTTTTAATACCTAACGTAGAACACTCTCCTCCTCTCCCTCAGGGGACTGGACACAGGACATAGTTAAGCATTCTGTAAAAAGTGATCTCCATGAGGGCAGGGGCTATTTTTTTTTAACTTTATAGTTTTAATACCTAACATAGAACCTTGTACATATTCTGGGTTTAATAAATATTTGTTGAATTTAAATCTATTTCTGAAGTTCTTCAGAACCCTTGGAGTTGTCCTGTAAGTAAAATTCCAGGGAGCATATTCAGATTAGTTACTTTCCAATGTATGATGGCTCTATGTATTATCTACTTTCTGATCTTGATTGGAAAATTGGTAAAAGAGAATGTGTCTGCTGATGGCCCCATAGTTGTTTTGTTTTTTTAATCAAGTTTAAAAAAATCTATAGAAATTATTTTTATCCTTGTTTTTTTGTTTTATTTTGTTGTGGATTTGTTGTTGTTTTGATTTAAGAAGGAGTAATCTTTAATTAAATGGGAAGGAAAAATAATGAAACAGCTACTAATCCTTATCCTCTGTTAGTTTTCTTAGGTCCTCAGTTCAAGGACTGATCATTTTAACACCATTCAGGTTCAATTGCCCTCATTCTACTTTTGGAGGTAGTTACATCGATGGATCCCCAGGCAGGAGGCGGGCAGTTTTGATGTCCAGAGTGACAGAGTGATGTCCAGGGTGACCTAATGAAATCTCAAAAGATTTTTTACACACAGAACAGCCTTCTATAAATTGGCTGTGGCTGAGTGTCATTTACTTAAACATATGCCAAAAGGAGTCAGGTGTGCCAAATACTGACATACAGATTGAGAGATTCCCGGGATATTAGCTATTGAAAGAATATTGGAGATTATTGTTTGCTCAGCTCCTATCCATGAAGCACAGGCATTTGCACTATTGGGACAAATGAAAACTAAATCCCAAGGCCTGTTGGTTTCACTTTTGCAACATTTCTCAAATAAACCCCCTTCTTTCCTCTGACACTACCACCACTCCAGTACAGGCCCTCATCACCTCATGGCTGGACTATTGCAGTAGCCTGCTGGTGGGGGTCTGCCTGCCCTAGGTCTCCCCATTCTGATGCTCCACATCCTTCACTTAGCCTCTAAAGTGATTTTCCTAAAAAGCAGGTCCAATCATGTCACCACCATCCCATTCCCTCAGTAAACTCCAGTGGCTTCCTATTGCCTCCAGGAGCAAGTACAAAATATTCTGTCTGCATTCAAAGCTTTTCATAACCTAGCCCTCTCTTACCTTTCCAGTCTTCTTATACTTTACTCCCTGACATGTACTCTTCAATCCAGTGACACTGGCTTTCTGGCTGTTCCACAAATGAGTTGCTCCATCTCTCAGCTTCAGGCATTGTTTCTGTGTGTCCCCAGTGCCTGCAATGCTCTACCTTCTCTCCTCTGACTACTGACCTCCCTGGCTTCCTTTAAGTCCCAACTAAAATTTCACCTTTTACAGGAAGCCTTCCTTAACCCCTTCATTCCAGTGCTTTCCTTCTGTTAATTATTTCCTATTTATCCTGTATATAGCTTATTTTTTCTATATTTGTTTGCATATTGTCTCTTCCATTAAAGTGCTTACACTTGAGGGCAAAGGCTGTCTTTTGCCTCTTTTTGTATCTCCAGCACATAGTGCCTGACACAGAGTAGGTGTTTAATAAATGTTTATTGATTGATAGATTAAGATATGTTTAGGTCCATTACTAATGGTATCCAAAGGATTGGGTGGGGGCATCTGAGGAATCAGTGTTCAATGGAGTGGATAATTCTTTCCCTATCAGGTGTCCTATGAAGACCCTTTGTCTCATTTTATTTTTTTCCTTTTTCTTTTCTTTTTTTTTTTAAATTTCTTTTCTTTTTTAGCTTGAGAGATAACAACATTTCTGACCAAGGCATCTGCAGGCTGGTTGACCAAGCTCTGCAGTGTGACCAATTTCAGAAGCTTGCGTAAGTAGGGCTTCCATCATTGAGTTTGATCTCAGCTCCTTGGAGTATGGGTTTCTGTTTTTGGGAATGGGGTAGGTACAAGTTAAGAGGTGAATGCAGATTTGTTCCTGAGATTCCTGTTTGTGCCAGCCTTCCTTTCACGCTGTGTATCTCTTGTGAAATCTTTCAGGTTGTTCAATAACAAGCTGACGGATGACTGTGCTCACTCTTTGGCCAGCCTTCTCAAGCACAAGCAGAACTTCTTGGCATTGAGGTGAGGAGAGGGGATTCATTTCCATGAGAGATCCCCTAGTTCCTTACCCCAAGTTCCTGATAATGATTTCAAACTTGAGCTAAGTAAAAAGTAAGAAGGAGTGCCCTGATCTAATCAATTTGGGGCTGCTCCAGAACTTGTGCTACCATATAATGATTTGAGATTCCAGGATTCATGGAATGCCTGATTATAGGGTATACCAGGCAATTCCTGGGACAGTGTGATATCCCGTAGGACTTGTCATCCTTGTGATTCTTTGGTCTACCTCTTCTTTGCCCCACCCAGGGAAACAGTCCCTGGGTCATTTCCCCCTGTTCTGTCTCTCATGCAATCTGGGTGCTGCGTGCTAAATTACTTTACTGTGGGCACTGTGCTAAATTAGTGATAATTACAGGTTTGTTTTGAGATTTTACTGTAAATTGTGATGCAAGGTCCATCCCACAGCACTAAATTGAAGGTACTTACCTAATCAGGCTTTCTGTCTTTTTTTTTGTACAGAAATAGTAACTCTGGTTAGTAGTAGCTTAGGCAGCATAAACATTAGATGATCTGTGCATCTCTGCTCTAGATCCTCCCAGCATGAAACTCACTTGATCCCATTTGTGCCCTTAGTTTCCTAAGAATTTGTTCATTAATTTCAGTTAGCTTGCTTTTCTGATTATGTGGGAGCATAGATTTAGAGCTGGTAGAGGTCTTAGAGGCCATCTGGTCCAACCTTGTCATTTTAACAGTGATAGAAAACTGAGGTTGCCTGTATATGGGAAACTGAGGCCCAGAGCAATTAAGTGGCTAGCCCAAGATCACAGAAGTAGTAAGTGGCAGTGTCAAAATGTGAATCCAGGCCCCTGACTCCAAATCCAGCCCTCTTTCTTCTGCACTACTCTTGTTTTTAAAGTTTGGAGAAGCATTAAAAGTTAGTATGATCATCTCCCTCCTTTGTTGTTTGTTGGGCTCAATCTTATTCACTCGTTCACCTACTCTCATTTTCTTTTTTTGTCATCTGGCCAATTAGCTGAGGTATTCCTAAGTGAGGTCAAAGTTGAAGGATCAGTCCTTATGCAGTGAAATTAACAGCAAAGAAAAAATGAATTCATAGACATAGGTTGAACTCCTAAACAACTTTGTATAATTTGAAATAAGAGAGAATTTAGAAAGAGCATTGGGTTTGGAACAAGAGAACCTAAGTTCAAATTTCAGCTTTGCAACTGAAGCAAATCATTATGCCTCTGGTCCTTGGTTTTCCCATCTATAAAATAAGTGTTGGACCATTAGATGATTTCTGAATTTCCTTCTAACTATACCCAACCTATCTGATGGTCCTAAGCCCATCCCTGTTAAGTGAAATGCAACTCAGAGCATGTGCTCTGTGGTTATCGGGTGGATCAAGACCTTCCTGAAGAGGCCCTGGGGTTTTTGGATGTGGCTTCTGTCTTCTGACTCCTTGATGCTTTCCTGGTTGAGTCCTTCCCCTCTACTTTGGCTAGGTCTCTGCTAAATTCACAGTGTCACTTTCTGGGGCATAGGGGTAGCAGGCTCAAGGAGTTTATAAGAAACATACCTTCATTCTACCAGCTCTTAATGCAGATATTCACATCTTCCTCCCCTCTCATCTCATATTCCTCTCCAGAGCATTTTGTGATGGGTAAATGTTACCTGCAGTCAGATTCCAGAAGAGGAAAATGAATTGTAAGAGATTAAGGATTGTCTTTGTACGGGCACCAAGTCAATGACTAAAGCAAAGAGGAACATGACTCATCTTCTCTAGTCTGGCCACTTCCCTTATGGTTGGGAAGAAACCACTGCCTATTTTGACCCTCTCTCTCTCTGTGCGTCCTTATACCCATTGTACTTTGCTTGATGTTTTTGTTTTTCTTCTTGTTGGTAGAAAATGAAATTATATCAGACTTTCAAACAGGCCAGAATGGTCAAGTTAAGAAAAGACTAGTTTTTCTTGTAAAAGAACAGTGACTAAATCCAAAGTCAATCCAGGAACTTGTTATCTCTCTCCTCTTCTGGCTCATCTGGCCTCCATAAAATGAGCCTGTTGACTTCTTTGACTTGGAGGAGCTAACAGGAGCCATATCCAGGTTTTCTGTGCTTTGTAAATCTTAAAGCAATGTAGAAATGTTTGGAGTTAAGGTGATTATAATTATTCCTGCCTGCCTTTCAAGTTGTGTGGATTGAGATTACTTTTAAATTCCAGGTTGGGGAACAATCACATTACTGCAGTAGGAGCCAAGGTGTTGGCAGAAGGCCTGAAAGACAACAATTCTCTTCAGTTTTTGGGGTAGGTTGTGCTACCAGGAAAGGGACGAGGAGACCATTCAGAGCCTCCACAGGTCAATCTTCAGTTGTTTTAAGTTTCATGCACACAGGTGTGCACGCACATATATGAATGCGTGCATGCATATGTGCATGTGTATGTATGTGTGTGTGTGTGTGTGTGTGTGTGTGTGCATATTAGAAGTCCATTTCAGACCCATAGAAATAATTACTAGATGTTCCTCAGAGGGTAAGAGAGAGGACTGACCTTGTGACTATAATTCACCACCTCATTTTGGTCCTTGGCAGCTCATTTTGGACATCTTGCATCGTTAGGAAACTTTTCCCCCCTAACATCAAAAGCCTCAATTTTTCTCTTTGCAACTTATGGGTTTTGCCCTCTGACCCAAACAGAACAACTCTAATCTTTCCTTCATGTCAGGGGCATTAAAATACTTGATGATGGCTGTCATGGAAGCGTATATTTAGAACTGGGAGTGTCCTTGGAAGTCTTCTAGACTAACTCTTTTACTAGGATGGGACTACACCCATGATTTCATTTATGTAGAGGAAATTCCCTCTACCAGTGGGGGAAGGGAGCTCATCTTATAGTCACAGAAAGTAGCCTGGAACATCAAAAGGTTGAGTGACTTGTTAAGACAGGATTTGTTAAATGTAGGATTTGAACACAGGTCTTTCTGACTCTGAAGCCAGCTCTCTCTTCTCTATGCTATCCTACCTCTCTGTAATCCTTTTAAGTAGTATAATTATTGGTATAACTCACAATTATGTCAAGCTTTTCTCATGATAATCCTTGAGATAGGTAATGAAATTATTATCCTCATTTTATAAGTGAGAAAAATGAAACCTTAGTCCTTCATTTTGTTAGGTTTCAGCAGATAGAAAAGGAGGCAGATAATGAAAAAGGGAAGTTGAGTTACAGATTCTGGCTTCTAGGCAAGAGTTAGGATCTAAGGATACCAGGAAGTTTCAGTGAGTGTGTTTGGCTGTGAGATTGAAAGGATTCCCTCTCATGCATGGCATGCCCAGAGGAGATAAGGACTGAAGCGAGAAAATAGAAGGCTGGGAGTGGGGAGAGTCCTTGTGCCTGCTTTCTCTCTTAGCATAGAAGCCCTATCATGAGGCCCATCCTTACCTGCCTCAAGACCTAATTGCTTAACGGTATTACCAGCCTGTACATACGTATATGAATATATACATACATATATACACATATATACACACACCTACACATACACACACACACACACACACATATATGAATGGGAGTCTTGACTTAGCAGCAGTCAATGTGGAAAAGGCCCCAGGGTGGGTCAGCTGACTGCTAGCTGTATAGTTGTTAACCCTCTCCCCCCCAAAAAAGTTAATGCTAACTTCAGGGACGTTAAAAGTAGACTCATGTTCTGAACCAAGGAGGTGACATTTCATTTTGTTTTGTGTTGGTCAGGTTGCGTCTGTAGTACTGTGTCGAGTTTTGGCTAACATGTTTTAAGAAGGACTTCAGTAAACTGGTGTATGACAAAAGTTGGGTGGCTAAGATGGTCAAACGTGGTAGGATCCTAGATTAAGGACCTGGATGGGACCTCAGAGGCCATAGTCTAACGTCTTTATTTTACAGGCAAACAGCAGACTGAGACTCAGGGAGTTTAGGCAACTTATTCAAGTCACACAAGTAATAAGTAAGAGAGATGAGATTGAAGGAATGAAGGAAGAGGTATGATGAAAATAAAATCAACAAGACTTGGCAACTGATTGGATATGTGATGTGAAGGAGAGGGAAGAATTAAGGATGATGTCAAGATTTTGAGACAGGATGGCCAGGAAGATATTAATACAAAAATAGAAATTGAAAAATTAGGATGAAGAGCAGATTCTGGAGAAAGGAGTTCTATTTTGGACATATTGAATTTGAGATAATGGCAGGAAACATCCAGATGGAATTGCCCAGCTAGCAGATGGAAGTGTGGGACTTGAGTTTAAGGTAGAATTTGGGGCTAGAATCATAGATTTGGGAGTATTCTACATAGAGGTGATGATTAAAACTCTGAGAAGAGATGAAATCACTAAAGGAGATAAAGAACAGGAGGGATGAAGTGGGAGCTTTCTGGGATACTTAGGGAGTGAGAGGAGGAAGAAGAATCAGTGAAAGCCCAAGAAAGAATGGTTATAGAGGTGGAAGGAAAACTAGGAGAAAGTAATGTCATTAAATATTCACATTCAGCATGAAATTCCCATGTCATTCACTTAATGTTAAATGTACCAAGATATTCTCAGGCCCTGCCTCTTTATCTCCTTAGGAGTCCTCAGCCTATGTTGGGTTGGAAAGAAAATTCCCTCTTGATTTTTTCATTTAAACATCACATTATTACATTGTATATTATAGTCCCTGGAGGGGATGAAAGCCAAATGGAGCCTTGTGAATATTTGAGATGGTACTTTTTCTTTCATCTCAAATCATGAGGTGGAGTTATTATGCTGGTTTTTGTTGGTGTTTTTCATTTCAGTCTCTGGGGCAATGCAGTGGGAGATGAAGGAGCCCAAGCACTCGCATCTGCCTTGCATGACCACCGCAGCTTGAAGTGGCTCAGGTAATACTGGAATTTTTGTCCTGTTGGAGAAAAATTTGGGGTGGGAGAATTTAAGGACAGAGGAAATGGGGCAGCAGAGAAATTGTGTTAGGGTGGATATCCAGTGACTGTTGCCCTCTTGCTCCTGTGCTCTGTACAGCCTGGTGGGGAACAACATTGGCAGTCTGGGTGCCCAGGCCTTAGCTCTAATGCTAGAGAAGAACGTGTCACTGGAGGAACTCTGGTAAGTGTTAAATGTTTACTGTATCCTTATGCCAGGGAGAACTCCCTAGCCACGTGGGGCAGAAAAGTACTCAGGGCCAGGGCATTTTATGTGACACTCAGCTTCTGATTGGCTGCACTAATGGAAGGGAGAAGTTATTTGGGTAAAGAGTAGATAATCTATTCCCAACTTATGGGTAATTTTAGAATGTTACAGTCCTACTATGAAGCCATTTGATCCTGGTGCTCCAGAAGGAAAGATTTAAAGAGAGCATGAGATGTTATAGATATCTGAGAAAACACTTATTTGCCAGAAAAAGTCTGCCTCAAGTCCAGGGTGGCCATTTTTACTGAGCCAGCTGGTTAGAAGGGGAATTGCCCCACCTATAGTCTTCTCTGTCTTTGATTTTTACTTTCATTTTACTTCATTGCAACTATAATTCTTTCTTTTTTTATTTTTATTCACTTCTAATCTTACTTGGTAACCCTACGGAATCTATTGTAGGCAGAATCTACTTTTTAAAAAAATCTAGGTATAATTATATAACACAAACAACAACTTACATATTTTTCTATTTTTTCAGCCTTTTGACTTTGTTGTAATACTTATTGTTGTCTCATGGAATTATTGACTTCTATTTGGTCTATTCTAATTTTCAAGGAATTTATTGTTTGAGCAAAATTTTGTACCAATTGTATCATCTGGCTAGTAATTACTTTTCCAATTCTTTCTTCCATGATTCTCATTTTTTTTCCTTTAGCTCTCTCATTTCATTTATTAAAAAAAACTTTAATTCTTTAAAATAAAATAAACTCTTGCTTTATCTCTTCCAGAAATTCTACTTGAATTTGTGTCCAAGCTGTGGTTTTCTTTGATGTTTTGCTTGTAGATGTTTTGGAGTCATTATCTTCTGTATTTATATTTTGAGTGTCCCTGTTACCATAATAGCTTTTTATGGTGAGACCTTTTTTTTTTTTGTTAGCTCATTCCTCCAGCTTACTTTCTGACTTTAGACTTTGTATTAGTACCAGAATCTAAGCATTTATGGAGGAAAGGTCTGGGATAATCCTCTTGCTGCTTTCTTGGGATATTTGTGTTGTGTTATTCTCGGATCTCAGGGACAGTTCAGGCCAAGGGACCTGAAAACTTTCAGTGCTTTCAAAGTGGACTGACCCAGGACAAAGGCTGCCCACTGTTCCTCTGGTCTGAGCTCTTTAGTTCTTGACTTGGGTTTGCATCTTAGCAACAGTAGATTGCTGCTAGACTCAGCAACTTTCAGCTAGCTGGAAAGCTGTTGGTTCAGAGTAGTAGAACTGTGGGCTTCCTTTTGATCTGGATTTCTTCCCTGGTTATTTCTTTTCTTTTCTTTTCTTTCTTTCTTTCTTTTTTTTTTTTGGCAATTGGGGTTAAGTGACTTGCCCAGGGTCACGCAGCTAGTAAGTGTCAAGTGTGGTCAGAGGCTGGATTTGAACTCAGGTCCTCCTGACTTCAGGGCCAGTGCTCTGTCCACTGTACCACCTAGCTGCCCCCCTGGTTATTTCTTTGTGCACTTCAGAGTGGACTAGTACCTAGAACTGAGATCTCGCTCTGTTCCTGGGGCTCCAAGCCACACAGCTCCTGCTTGTTTCTCAGTTTGCTTCTTGCCCAGTACACTGTCTAAGGTCTGTGACCATGCTTCTGACCTACCATTGGTCCTCTCCTCTGTCCACTGTGGTTCTTTGATCCATAACTGGGTAGTGGGTGACACAGCTGACAGTTGGCACTGTTTCCACACCTTGACCAAGGTCATAGTGGCATGGTATGGACCTGGAATCTTGTCTTGACCTTAGGCAAGATCCCTGGGTGCTGGAATGCTCTGAGAGTGCACACCTGGCCAGACCCCATCCCTAGGTCCATAGAACTCTCTGTCTCCTTTTGTTGACCTGGGCTTGACAAGTCACTGTGACTTTTTCTTGGATTTCTCCATCAAGATTTGGTTAGATATATTTTATAGATGTGTTTGGAGGAGTTATTTTTTTTTTGGGGGGGAAGGTGAGCTTACTGTACTTCTTCCTGCAACTCCACCATCTTGTCTCTATCCCTTCCCCCCAGTCCCTTGTTCATTAAAAAGTAGGTCTTAGAGCACCTTCTGTGCTCTATGGTCAAAAAATGGAGTACAGACCAGATCAGAATGGGAGGGTGAGAGAATCCTTTTATCACTGATTTATTATTAGTTTTTAGAGAAGAATGTTTTACTTAAAGCAGGTGGAAAACAAGGCAACTTTGAATGAGTTATCATTGATCGTAAAGAACTCTGTAAATCCCCAGAGTTGTGGCCCAGTAAGAGGAGTCTTATTGATGTCTGCATAAATCCTATCTTTTTGTCTTTTTCCTGTGTTATTTGCTGATTTCAGTGGGGGCTGGGATTGGGAAGCTGAGGATGGTTTTCTCTCTGTTGTTCTTTATGGCTCTCTAGAGCTTTGATAGTAGCCCTATCCTTTGCATAGGTTTTAGCTTTGATACAGGAAGGGTACTGTGGTGTATTGCAGAGCACACTTGACTAGGAGTCAGGAGAACTGGGCTTATGTTCCAAGTCTATGACTGATGAGCTGTATGACCTTGAACTTGATCTAGGCACTTAGCTTCTGTCTCTGGGAGCTCCTTTTATAAACAGCTTGCTTTGTGAGCTGTAACACGCAATATAAATAGGATTTATTTTTCTTATCATTTTCAGAGCAGGTCCCTGGTGATTTAGAAAACATATGCATGCCCATCCATGATTTGATCCATTTTCCTAACATTCCAGACCAGCAGTCAAGCAAAGTTAAGGACAGAGGTTAAAAATGATAGGAATTTGAACTATCATCTACCCCTGACTACATCATTGATGCTTATGCAGTAGCTTTTTCTTTCTTGTTACGCTGTTATGTTGTGAATGAATGTTACAATGAGTTTATGATCCTGAGTATTTTGAGTGCTCTTGAAAACATTGTAGAAGGCTTTTACTCTGATCCGGGTTGGGTTGAAAATTTTGCGTTTTATTTCTCCTTATGCCATAACTGCTATTTCCTCCCAAAACACCTCATCCATATTTTGTGTATATTTATATCCTCACATATTCTTTCTGAGAGAATATAAGCTCCCTAAGGGCAGGGAGGTTTCATTTTTGATTTTATGTCCCCAGCATCTATCCCAATGCCTGTCACATACTCGGTGGTTAATAAATGCTTGTTGATTGATTGACTGGAAACCAGGCTTGAGAAGACCTTATAGAGCTGTATAGTAAAAGGGAAGCTGACCCAGAGTGAAAAGTGAGCCGTGAATAATCTTCATATAACCTCTGAATCATAGGGTCACAGAATCTCAGAGTTGGGAGAAACCTCATAGGACTTCTAGACCAACCTTAAATTAAACATCACCTCAGCAGTTAGTTCCAGTTTATTGATTAGAATCAGATCCAGAATTCAAGTTTCCATTGCTCATTTTGTTTTACCTTTTGAATGGTAAAATTATCACAACAGATGTCAAATTATTAGCAGCTTTGATATTGGCAGAGAGAACACTGTAACAAATGTCTTGATAATTTGAAGTCCCCTATCACTATTAAAACATGCCTAAATGCCTGGCTTGTGATCTGTTTCCTGAACATCTAATTTATTTCCTGTTTCTTTCTAGGTGGTCTGTAGCATATTTCCTTAAATATTTTTTTTCAGTTTTTATTGAGATCTTTTGTTTTTACGTTATCTTCATTTACAAAGAGATCTCTCTCCCTCCCCCAGCCAATGGACCATCCCTTATAATAAAGAATTTTTTAAAAGAGAAAGAAAGTTTGGTAAAATTAACACATTAACTAAGTCTGGAAGTATATGCAATGTTCTATACCTATAGTCCCCTACCTCTGTAAGGATGAGAGGGAGATGCATTTTCTTCTTTCTCCTTTGGGGCCAAACTCGATCATGATAGTTATGCGGAATTCAATTTCTTTGATGTTGCTGTTGTGGTTGTTTCCATTTACACCACTGAAGACACTTTCTAATATTATTTTCATGTTCCTGCTTTTTTCACTTTTCATCAATTCATATTAGTCTTTCCATGAGTCTCTATTGTCCATATCTATTACTTTTTATGGTACAATAATATTCCACTCAATTCATATATTACAAGTTGTTTAGGCATTCCCTGTTGTTCTAGTTATAATATTGCTTTTGTTTCTGCTTCATGTTGACCTTTACCCATAAATTCTAGGCCCTGGATTTTTGCATATTCTTTTCCAGTCAATTAAATTCATAAAGCATTTACTATACATCTACCCTGTGTTAGGCACTCCCTGTTAGAGGCAGGTACTCTGTTAGGTACAAAGACGAAAACAAAATGGTCCCAGCTAGAGCGGCTTACATTCAACTACTATACAGATAAATAAGTATAAAATATATACAAAGTGGGGGAATTGAGAAAGCTTTCTTGTAGTAAGTAGGCAGCCTTTGAACTGAGTCTTCGAGGGAGCTAGAGATTCCAAGAGACAGTGGTGAGGAGGGAGAGGGTTCCAAATATGAGGGACAGCATGAGCAAAAGTACAGAAGCAGAAGATGAAGTGTGATGTTTGGAAAACTATATCATACTATAATGTATGCATACATACATTATATAACTAGACATTAGTGCATGCATAGTGAAATGGTGGCCGATTTGGAAGGTCAGACTGTGAAGGACTTTAAATGACAGACAGAGGAATCTATATTTCATCCCAGATCCCCTAAAGATTCTTGGGTGGGGGAGAGATGTGGTTAGGATATATCACGTTAGCAGCATCTCAGAGGATTGACTGGAGGAGTAGGGAGCCAAATTAGTGGGCTACTTCACAAGTCCATATGAAAGGTAAAGAGTGTAGATGGCCTTTTGATTATAGGACAGCTGTGCAATAAGAGCTACATGGTCTAGAGAAATGGTGTTATGTAGTGAATATAGTTTTGGGTTTGGAGCCAGGACAATCTGAGTTTGATCCCTGCCTCAGACACTATCAATATGACCCCAGATAGATGACTTAATTTCTCTGAATCTGTTTTCCTCCCTGTAAAATGGAAATAATTATAGTACCTACTTTATAGAGTTGTTATGATCAAATGAAATAAAGTATTTCGCAAACTTTAAAGCACCAATTAATGTGCTAGCTATTCTCCTACTCTCCATCATCATCATCATCATCATCATCATTCTATAATGCTATTTGTTCTCCCTCCCCTACTTATTTTGCTTATTTTTTTTCTTATTTTTATTGATGTCTTTTTTTTTAACATCACCTTCATTTCCAAATATTTCTCCCCTCTTCCACACCCAACAAACTATCCTTTGCAAGGGAGAGAGTGAGGAGCATCCCAGTAAAACCAGCAAACACATCAACCTATTTGACAATATATGCAATATTTCATGTAACCATCCTACCTCTCCCCTCCCCACTCCACCAGCTAAGAAGGGAGGGAGCTATATCTTCTTATCCCAAAGATCAAACTTAGTTACTGTAGTCACACATTGTTCAGCTTGGCTTTTGTTTGTCCTTTCTGTTATTGTACTTATTAAACGTATTGTTTTCTTGATGCTGCATACTTACCTAGGCATCTGTATGGCTTCCTGTTCTTCTCAAAATTCATTATATTTGTCATTTTTGGACCTCAGTAATACTCTATTGCTGTACCACAATTTGTTTAGCCATTCCCCAGTTGGTGGGTATCTACATTGTTTTCTAGTGCTTTGCACAGTACAAAAAATGCCACTGTGAATATTTTGCTATATGTAGGATTTTTCTGTCCTTGACCTCCTTGTGCTTATCTTGTTAATTCTGAATAAGGTATGCCTTTAAAGAGCCATTTTCTAGTCATGGATTCTGTCCCACCACATGCTAATGATAATTTGTGGTGAAATTGGCATCTCCTGTTCACCTAACATTTAACTATATGTTATACATTATGGACAGACATCTGAGGTCATGAATTTTACTGCTGGTTCCTTCCTTCGATTTTGCCTACTGTGCATTTCTGGGCATTTACTATTTTTGTTTCATCTGCTTTGTGGTATTCTCAATGATACCTTACTTTCTGATGCTTTTTTTTTCTCTTCTTCATTTTCAGTCCTTGAAATTAGACTTTGAATACTCCAGGCAGATACATTCCTTACCTTTATTATGTACACTCCATCCTGGACCTAGAACCCATAATTCCCTATATTTTAAACCCTAGTCTAGAATGCAAATCTTGTTCTTGGACATGATCTTATCCACCTATTTTTTTCTCAAATAGGCTTTTTTTCTTCTAAAGCCCTTACCTTTGTGTCACTAAGGTGATGAAAATATGACCCATACTCAAATGATTTATTTTAATTTCTTGTCCAAAACTTCATAATTCTTAGGAATACATTCTAGTTTTTTTCTAATAGACAATTAACAAGCATTATTAAGCACTTACTTTGGGCCACAAACTGTACTAAGCTCTAGCAATAGATAGATATGGCAATATCATTTGTACCTGAATGTATCGCTAGAAATGGGTGGTAGTCATCAGGTCTGACAAAACTTCAGAGCTTCCTTGCCACATTGCCTGAAAAGTCATGCGACCTCTTTATTGTTATTATCAGGTTGAAAAATAGCTGCCTTCAAGAGGATGTCACCAGTCACCACTCCCTACTCTCTTCTTTCTCTGACTTTTGCTGGATGATCTTTCGCCTGATCATAGCTATGGATCTTAAGGAGCTGCTTCCTCGGAGCCCTGCTGCAACTCTGCCTCTCTGATTCTTTGATCCTCAGAAGAGTCTACTTCTTTCCTCTTTGAGAAGAATCTCAAATAATTAGCTCCAAATGTTCAGGGGGACTTCTTTTTCCATTTTTTCTTTAGGTCCCATTATTCTACTCTCTTTCCTCTTGCCATAATCTATTATCCCTTCTGGTTTTGTATTTCTTCTTTGTTTTACCTGAAGGCAGCTAGGTAATACAGTGGATAAACTTGGAGGCTGGACTTGGGGTTAGGAAGACCTGGGTTCAGATCCAGCCACAGGCACTTGCTAGCTGTGTCACTTGACTTGAGCTAGTCATTTGAACTATTGCCTCAGTTTCCTCATCTATAAAATAATGATAATAACAGCACCTACCTTCTGGGGTTGTTTTGAAGATAAAATGAGATAATATTTATAAAGTATTTTGCAAATCTTAAAGCACTATGTAAATGTTAGCTATCATTATTTTCTCATTGAAGCCCTTCTTCCTTTTTTTCTCTTTTTAAAAAAATTCTTCTATCCAGAATTGATTATTATTATCCCTGCTACTTAAATACACCTTCTTCTCTTGAAGAGGTCAGTAAATTATAGGACTAAAAAAAGATATAGTTGCAGACTTAATATTTAAATCAAAGATGAATTTCTAAGCTTCAGTTTTCAAGGGTGGAAGCAGCCACTGAGATCCTACTTGGGATCATCAAAGAAACCATATGACATGACTTCACTGGCAGAGCAAATAATTTCTGTCTGAGTTTTGTAGATTATAAATCATCTAGATTCTCTTACTTGAAAATACAACTGTAAGGGCACCTCACTCTAAGCAAGAGATTTAGTCCTAAAAAATATGCATGCAAATTAAATTCCATTTAAAGTGCATTAGGTGGGCTTGATACTTAGAGGAACCCCCAGCCCAATTCTTTGTGAGTACAAAGGAATTGTGTCAATATCATGTAATGAGAACAGCCACTCAGAGATTTACTTCTTTTGTAAGAATGGAAAATTAGATTTGGGTTTTTTCTTTAAAGCAGAGCCTACTTGTAGTAATGATGGCATAACCAGATATTATTTTTATTCTTGCTAGCCTTGAAGAGAACCATCTTCAAGATGAAGACATGTGTACCCTGGTGCATGGACTTAAGAAAAATTCAAGTTTGAAAGTTCTTAAGTAAGGAACCTGTTGACTGTTGTGAAAACAATATTATAATGTCTCTGGGAACTAACTGCCTATAAAAGGGGCAAGGGACCATTGTCCTAAATCATAATGTCACATGTGCTGTATCATCACAAGGCTAATCAAAGTCCCAATGCAATCTAGGGGAAGAACGTATTCTGATGCAGTACAAATCATTCTGTCTCAGAGGGGAAGCAGCATGGGATATAATAATGCAAGACTGGGCTTTTTGTCTGGCTCTGTCACTGACTAGTTGTGGGTCCCTGGGCAAACTTCTGTTCTCTGGAGCTGATATCCCTAATCTGTAAAATGGGAGTGGGATTAGGCTAAATGATCTCTAAGGCTTAATATTTAATGGTTCTGTGACTCAGGGTCACGTTTGGCTTAGCAGGGTACTTTGCTCTGTGGGCTTCATGCTGTCCATTTTGTCCATATGGAATAGTGAATAGGTGCTGAATTTGAAGTTAGGAAGACCTGAGTTTGAATCTTCGTTTGGATAGATACTAGCTGTGTGACCCTAGGCAAATTGTTTAGTCTCTTCCCGTTTCAGTTTCTTCAACTATAAAATGGATATAGTAATAGCACCTGCTTCATAGGGTTGTTGTGAGGATCAAATGAGGTAATATATTGGTAAATTGCTTTGAGCCTTTAAAGTGCTACTTAAATATTAGCTGTTATTATCATTATCATTATTAAAAAGTAAAACCTCATGAGCAAAGAATAGGAATTTGATCAATAGGAACTTTTGTGATAAAAACAACAGTTTCACAGGGAGAATGTTTGGGATCTAAAGTTATCTTGCTCTAGAGCTGTTTTTAGTGTGAGGGTGGATGCAGGGTAGGGGAATGATTTCTTCTACCCCAATAATTGTTAATACTAGCTAATATCTATATATTTTTTTAAGGTTTGCAAGGCATATTATTTCATTTGATCTTCACAACAACACTGTGAAGCAGGCACTATTATTATCTTCATTTTACAGAGGAGGAAACAGACACTGAGAGAGGTTAAGTGACTTCCCCAGTATTACATAACTGGTAAGTATGTGAGGCGTAATTTGAACTCAGGTCTTCTTGCCTCCAAGTCCAGAGGGGAAAGGGAAAGGGAAGGGGAAGGGGAAGGAAACAAGCATTTATTAAGTATCTACTATGTGCCAGGCAGTATACTAAGGGCCTTTACAAATATGGTCTCATTTGATCCTCACAACAACCCTATGAAGTAGGTGCTATTATGATTTCCATTTTACAGTTGAAGAAACTGAACAGAGTTTAAGTGACTGACCCAGTGTCACCCAGTTAAGAAGTATCTGAGGCCGGATTTGTACTCTGGTCTTCCTGACTCCAGGCCTACCCCACTAGCCCTCTATCCACTGCACCACCTAGCTATCACTAGATCTACAGGAAGAGCAAATGGGGCTAAAATGCAAAATAAACCATCCAGCAGGTGGCAATTAAGGGATTGAGCTGTGTTTGCATTTGGCAATAGTAGGGATATAGTGTTCCAAACCATGTCCTGAGCCAAAAGGCCTCTTTGAAATAGCTTAAGAGATGCATCACATGCTGCCTGGTGCTGGAGCAAAGTTGCATCTGCCCTGGCAAATATGTGCCTAGGAAAATGCTTGTCTTTAGTGACAAGTAGACAGCTGCCTCTGTTGAAAACCGTCTGCTTCCTGACAGACAAGCATCCACTTTAGCTCTGTTTGTTTGTGTTGCCTTTGGGGGGGCTATGAAGATGCCAATTGTTTGAGGGAAACATTTCCACTTGTTACTCCAGTGGGAGACATTGGCAAAACTCAGACTTTGGCAAAAGTGCCAGTGAAGTTAAGACTCAATGCTGATTTTACAAATTTGAGCTGAGGGGAAGTGGGGTTAATAGTGTGGCCCATTATTGCACAAATTTAGATACACCATAGCTCAAATCTTGCTCTTCCAAACATAACAACTCTATTTCATAGAAACTTAGATATAATGTAAGCCCAATATTATTTGGCCTATACCTAGATGCTAGCTAGCCTTGTGCTGGCATGTCACTGTAGTTGGGCTTTTACCCTACAAATGTTTGCCAAGAAGATAGAAGTAGTCATCTGTCTTAATTGAAAGACTAGTTGTCTTTATCTAGGCCTAGCTGTCATCAGCGTATTATACTTTGGACTTCATGTGCTACTAAAGATCGAGTAGAGATAGCATCCAATTAACTTGTTTTTGTATCTCCAGCATTTAGCACAGCATCCGTAAGACTTAATAAATGCTTGTTGATTGAATGATTCTTAAAGGGTAAGGAGAGAGAGGGTAGGATCACTTCAGGAAAACAAGTCTTTGAGACATTCCAGAAAACCATCCAGCCTCAGTCACTTAATCTACAAGTCAGTCCACAACATGCATTTGAGCACTTATCATGTGCCAGACTATTTGATCTCTGAGAGTTGCAGTTTCCTCATCTATGAAATGAAAATAATTCTTGTGCTACCTGTCCCATTGGGTTGTTGTAAGGAAAGCAAAGTACTGTCTATATAAAGTGGAGTTGTTAGCACAATTAGAACTCATTCCTTAACCTCCTTAGTGACTAAAAGCTGGGACATTCAGGCTGGTGGGGGTGATGATTTGGAGTGGGCAGGCTCTGGGATACCCCATGCAAAGTTATTCTCTATTTTTCCCATTCATATAGCTAGTCCCTATCACCAACCCTCCCTATAATAGAAATGATTAAAAGGAAGGTCTTTTCCCAGAACTTCAGATTTGTAGTTCAGTGGCAAGAGCAGCAGACTTAGAGTCAGGAGACCTGGGTTTGTACCGTGGCTCCCCTGAAACTAACTAGATGTATAGCTATGGACAAGTCACATAACTTTCTGGGTATCAACTTTCTTTTTTGTAAAATGGGGAAATAATAATATTTGTAGCACTATCTCACAAGTTATTAGTATCATTTCCATCTTTGTTCCCAGGCTTTCCAACAACAGCATTTCCCAACAAGGTGTTTCTGCCCTCCTTCAGGTTCTGCAAAGTAATACTTCTATCAAATCAGTCTGGTAAGTTGTCCCTCTTCTGGGAAGTCTTTCTCTGTTTTGAGCAGCCCTGATTCCTCAATTTTTCAATCAGCACTACCAACCAGTATTTGAAAGGGTTTTCTACTAGTCTAGCTCTACGCTAGGGACTTGGGGTATATCAGACAGGTCTATATAAAAGAAAGGAGAAATCACAGCTTCTGCCCTCAGGGAGACAATCTAGATTTAATTTTTTTAATGGCCAAAGTATGTCACCATATGCAGCTATATTTCAAAGGATATGATTTAGCCTGTGACATATAACAAATCTGACCATATTTTCAAAACAAAAAAATCATGATGCATGGTCTAAAGAAGGATATGCCTTTTGTAAAGCTTTGTTAAAAGTATTTCTACTTTTTTTGTCTGACACAATTGTCACAATTTTAGGGATATACAGATGTCAGAGAGAGGTGCCACATTTATATACTAGATCAGATTTGGGATAGATGACCTCTGAAGTTCCTTCCAGCTATATGATTCCATGACTCTGTAGTATTGAAGTTTTGTCAAGTCATATTATAATGTTTTACCATTGTAAAACCAGCACTGAGTCTTAATATCAGAGGCATATTTGTTAAAACTGTGTTCTTACTAGTATTTTCAGTAGGTTTTTGTTCAGTTGTTTTTTCAGATATGTCCAGCTCTTCGTGACCTCATTTGGGATTTTCTTGGCAAATATACTAAAGTGTTTTGCCATTTCCTTCTCCAGCTCATTTTATAGATGAGGAACTGAGGCAAACAAGGTTAAGTGATTTACCCAGGGTCACATAGCTAGTAAGTGTCTGAGGCCAGATTGGAACTCAGGAATATGAGTCTTCCTGACTCCAGGCCCAGTGCTCTATCCATTATACTATCTAGCTCCATTCCAGTAGGTGACTCTTTCATATAACAAGTGAAATGTTTCCTTCAATCCAATTACAAGCTCTTAGTTACAGTATTTCTTTTGGGTTCTATTTTTCATGCCTTTAATTATTTTTAATATTATTCTCTGGACTCTCTCTTTCTCTCTCTCTCTCTTTCTTTCTCTTTCTCTCTCCCTCTCCTGTATCTCACTTAGAAAGACTAGAGCTGGTCACAGTACTTCACTTTAAAAAAAAAAAAGACTTACTCAGTGCTGAATAAATCAGGTGAATTATTACCCAGGGTATATCAACAAAGATCAAGCAGCTCTATTCCCAGATGGTCATCAAGTCAGAATGGGGTGGTTTTAATTTCTTGATTTATCTCCTGTCAGTTCCTTGGCTTATACTCACTTGGCCTTATACTCACTGCCTTTTCCACAGATCTCCTATGTCTGATTAAGTTCCACAGAGAAGCAAAGTGGGTGTGAGTTAGGAGAAAAGGAGTAGTGAGGGATCACAGGAATTTTTTCAGGACCATGGTTCCATGGAAGATGCTACAGATTCTGTTTCTGCTCTCATACTGGAAATAAGAGAATTGAAACCAGTCTAGTGGAAAGAGCTCTGTATTTGGTGTCAGAAGACCTGGATTACTCTTTGCTTTATTATCTGGGTGACCTTGATTAAGCCACATCTTTGTGGGCCTTATTTTACTCATCTCTAAAAACTAAGAGAGTTGGATTAGATGATCTCAAAGGGCCCTTCCAGCTCTAGTTTCTATAATTTTGCATGACTTGATTATTTCTAATGCCCTTTACTAATAAATAACTCAATTTAGTGCTTTTAGATTTTTAAAAGTACATTACAGGAAGTTCATTTGATCCTCATAACAACTTTGAAATAGGTGATATTATTATCCCCATTTCACAGAGAAAGAAATTAAGGCTTAGAGAAGTTAAGTCATTTTCCCAGGATCACACAAGGTATCTGAGGATGTAATTGAACTGCAGTTTTCTGAAAGTAATAATGTGAATTATAAACTATTGCAGTAGTTTTTTTCTTTTAAGTGAAACTTCCTTTATCCTTTCATGGTTTTAGGCTCAGAGGGAACACTTTCACTCCAGAGGAAATCAAGCAGCTCAGCCTCATGGATACCAGACTTTTGCTCTGATCACCAAGAGCCAATTTGTTTGGGGAGTTTTGAGTTTCGACCTTGTATACTAGAAAATTTGGTTTGATGTAGAATTCTCACATTCAGATTGAACTTTGTTCTTCCCTGTTCCTGTTAGACCCTGGATGTTGAGTTAGACACTAACACTTTCAGACTGGAGCAGTATTTGATACTTGAGGATCTCTCTCTAAAGTTTATTTCCATCAAACCATCCCCAGATTCCATCCCTGGAACACAGAGACTGTAAACTGAAATCTGAATAACATAATGTAGTGAATCCCTCTGGAGGTTGGTCAGCATCTCTTGGGTGGGTAAAATAATAGTCTTACGCTTCACCCATCTGAGGCAGAGAGAACTAAGTTCTGTTAGCTTTGAGTGTCAGCTACTATACAGAATACTGCCTATTTATGGTTAAAGGGGAGGATTGGGGGATAGTGATGAACATTAAGGACGGAAAAGTTCAGGAAGAATGAATGTCTCCTTTACCCTTGGTAGCTTTTTCTCCTGGGCCTCAGGTGCCATCCTAGATCACTGCCCTGAATCCATACTTCTGTCATGAATCCTGGGCCCTGATACTGCATCTGTTTGCCCTTCCAGTCAATCAATCAACCCATTAACCAACAAGTATATGTTAAATGTACACTGTGTACCAAGTACTGGCCTAGGTCAATCACAAAGAAACATAGAAATAAAAACATGAGTTAGGCCTTGCACTCAAGGAGCTTACATTCTACATACACAACGCATACTACCCTGTTTTGGTGCTTCTTAATGTGTTGAATGGGTCAGGATATTTCTTCTCTCAGTTCCTTAATTTTATATATATATATGTATATACATATACATATATGTATATATATCTCCACTAGGTCAGGGCTAAGATCTTCTTCTTCTTTTGGTATTTACAATACTATTGTGAAAGGCAGCTTGATAGTGAATGCTTATTCCCCTATTCGGTTCTAAAACTGCAAGAAAACTAGGAATTTGGGGGTCATCCTGTAATAAGTTGGCTACAAGTTCAGATATGAGGGACAAAACTATGTGAACCGAACTACATGTCAAAATTTCTTTTAAATCATATAAAATGTCCATAAATAGATGGAGTCTTTGGAAACCAAGACTCATTACATTGCAGCATTTTAAAGTCACTTAAGGACTGAATTTTGAGAGGTGTCAGATGGTTTTCTAATTTGATGCCTTTGGATTTTTGTATGTGAAATGAACTCTGTTGAGATATTTTTTGGATATAAATTCTGAAGCAGACCTCTGACAGTTGTTTCTCTGATCTGGGCTTGCTAGTATTGGAATATTTATGTTTATTAAGTTGCATATGAAAAACTTCCTGGAAGGATCTCTGATTTCTTTCAGCATGGGGAGTTACTGGTGTGAGAAATCTATCCATCAACACAGTCTGTGCTTTAGTCCTGGGAAACTCCCTAAGACACAGAGTGGTAAAATGACTTGTGTTGATTCACAGAGCTAGGAAATGTCAGGGGTGGGATCTGAACCTAGGACTTCCTGACTTTAAACCCAGTACTCTATTCACTATGCCAGGCTGACTGTATGGAGGCTTGACAGATCAACCAACAAACAAATTATTGATCGTCTGCTGTGTTGCAGGCACTACTCTAGGCACTGGGGATTGATTTAAATACAAAAATGAATCAGCCCTCCTCAAGGAGCTTGTGATCTATCAGGTGCAAAGTAAAGCCCTGACCATTAAAAAAAAAAAATACTGCCATAACTCTTTGTCTTTCTGGAAATACAAAGCCCAGAGAGAGCAGTGATTGTGGGGGAGGATAGGTTGTTAATATTTATAAAGCACTTTGTATTTCTTAAAGTTTGTATTTTTATAGAAAATGTGACTGTGTACTTTTATGTAAAAATTAAGCTCTAAGTATACATAATATTAAAGTATTTTGTCACTAAAGCGTCCTTTGTCATAAGACTTTCTGAATACATGTGAAACTTGTTTCATATTGAAGAATAAATATTCCTCATTGTAAAAATAGGTTTTAAGAAAACAGACAATTTTTACTTAAGAAAGAATGCTTAGAAATAGCCCTGGCAAGCAAAACACACTTATCTTTCAGCTAAGAAAAATCAAATGCAGCACAAATTCCCAATGAGCCATGTGAGGAGAACTTCGCTGAACACAGGCTGAAAGTAAAATTGCAGGCAAATTAAAGCCTCTGCAGCTCACTGAATTGAAGAGAAGTGGCTGAAGACACTTTTGACAGAAACAAAATGTGGAAGGTTTTAGTCTATTTCTTTTCTGTAGGCACTTAGTTGAAGTAACCTCTTGTTGCTGTCCCCACAGAAACAATTACTTTCAGCATTGAGTGAGCTAAGGCTCCTTTGTCACTACCTATAATGAAATACTTTGGACTTTGTTGCCTTTGCCTAAGGAAGGTGTCTCAAGGACTAGAAAGCTTCCATAGGGACTGAAGATACCTGTTTCTCCTGGATTCTGAGAGAGGTGTTTATTTTGGAGAATGGCAAGGAGGAGCAAGAGAGATGTTTTGTAATCTTTTTTTTTTTTTAATTCAATTTTCAGTTCTGAATTTTTTCCCTCCCCTTTCCCATCCCTACCTAATGAGAAGGCAAGAAAAACAAAACCCATTATAAATACGTATTATCATGCAAAGTAAATTTCCTTGTTAGCTATGTCCAAAAAAAGAAAAAAGAAAAAGAGAAGAAAATTCACTTCAATCTACACTCTGAGTTCATCAGCTCTATCTGGAGATGGGTAGCATGTTTTATCATGAACCCTTTGGAATGGTGGATCATTGTGCTGGGCAGTTACTATGTCTTTCACAATTGATTGCCTTTACAATATTGCTATTACTGTATAAATTATTCTCCTGGTTCTGCTTACTTCACTTTGCATCAGTTCCTAGAAGTCTTCCCAGTTTTTTAAAACCATCTCCTACAACCCCCGCCTCTTTTTTACACACAAATAATATTCCATTGCATTCATATACCATAACTTGTTTAGGCATTCCTCAACTGATGGTGATTCCCTCAGTTTCCAATTGTTTGCCACCACAAAAAGAGCTGCTATAAATATTTTTGTACACATGGGTCTTTTTCTTATTTCTTTGATCTCTTTGGGGTAAAGACCTAGTGGTGGTATTGTAGGGTCAAAGGGCACCCACAGTTTAATAGCTTTTTGGACATAATCTCAAATTGCTTTCCACAATTGTTGGACTAGTTTCCAGTTCTTCCAACAGTGCATTTATGTACCTGTTTTCCCATATTCCCTCAAGCATGTCATTTTCTCTTTTTGTTATGTTAGCTGATCTGATGGGCATGAGGAGGTACCTCTAAGTTTAAATTTGCATTTCTGTATTAGTGATTTAGATCATTTTTTTCATATGGCTATTGATAGCTTGGATTTCTTCCTCTGAAAACTATTCATATCATATCCTTTGACTGCTTATGGGAATGGCTATCATCTTGTTAATTTGACTCTCTGTATCTTAGAAATAAAACCTTCATCAGAGAAATTTGCTGCAAAGATTCCACTCCTTCTCCCCTAGTTTCTTCTAATTTTAGTTGGATTGGGTTTATGGAAAAAAATATTAAATTTTGTGTAATCAAAGTAATCTATTTTGCCACTTCTTTCTCTTGTTTGGTCATTAACATGACCAAAGCTTCACCCTGTCCATGATTTGACAGTAATTTCTTCCATGACCCACTAATTTGCCTATCATGACACCCTTTAGGCCTAAATTATGTTCCCATTTTCAGTTTATCTTGCTATGATATGACAGATTGGTCTATGCCTAGTTTTTGCCAGATTACTTTCCAGTTTTTCTAATAGTTTTTGTTGAATAATGAGTTCTTGCCACAATTTCTGGGCAATTGGGTTTGTCAAACACTAGATTACTGTGCTCATTTGCTTTTGTATATTGTATCCCTACTCTGTTTCACTGATCAACTTCTCCAGGCCAGTACACACTCATGGCCAGCTCTGGCCTCAGTGTCTGCACACCTCTCTGTCTCCCTAAGCAGCCCTGGGCTGGGAAAATGACTCACTGGGACTTTTTTAAATGGCCTTCTGGATTGGAATTCAGTTTAGTCCTCTAGATTGTTGTGGAGGAGGTGTGCTGGGTGAACTAGCAAAAATACTTCCTTTTACTCTGCCATCTTGACTCCACCCTGTTTTGTAATCTTTTAATGACAAAGCTTTTGTTTCTGTTCTGTGGCCTTGCTCTCTTTGGAGAAGAATCCACATTAGATTATAAAGTGATGTTAGCTGATTTGGGGGTGGGGAACTTTTCACAGCAATCATTAATTCCTCATAGATGAGAGTAATATTCCAAAGTAGCTTGATTTGAAATTATTCAGCACAGGGAGGTCATAGCTGAAAAACAAGTTTCAAAGCCCAATAGGGATTCCCAAAAACATCTTAAGGTCTATGTACAAGATTGGGCAGATTAGTCTCTCTGTAGTTACTGCTTGTCAAGTCCTCCAAAGAAAGGGCAGAGCGGAGAGGAGGGCTGAGTGGGCATTTGGACAGAATAGTCAATAAGTCAATAAGTATTAAGAACCTGTAATATGCTTGGCACTGTGCTAAAGTGCTGGGCATGCAAATAGGAAAAAGATAGTTCTTTCCTTCAAGGAGCTTACAATCTAATAGAGGATAATGCTGAATGTGGGTTAAGGTATCTTGCATGGGCATGGTGGAGAAGTCAAATCCAAAATGAGTGCAGTCAGAGAAGCCAAAGAAGTTCAACATGGATACAGATGGTTAGGAAATGAGATGTCAGGATATTTCTCTCCTGTCTCCCCTCCAACAGAGGGGCAGAGGGTAGTGATGAAGTATGGGTGCCAAGGCTGATTTGTATCTGGCAGGATGTTGAAATTTCCCAATGGTAGGAAAGTCAAAGAAATGCAAAATGAGTGCAGCCAGGTGGGAAGTGAGGAGAGGTTTACACAGTCCAGATAGGTTTCTAATAATACTTATGAAATTCTTATGGAAAAGGTATCAGGAAACAAGAGTTCACATGAGACCTTTTCTCATTCACATGAGACCTTTTCTCATTCACAAAACCCTGGCTGTCAAATGTTAAATGAAAATGACACGGATTCTCATTCTGGAAAAAAAAACCCTCTCTTGCCTTTTCTGAATGAAAATGAAGATTCTCAGTAGCTTTATCATAGGTATCAGTCTCCCAGATTCAACAGGAAAAAAAAAGCAGGAAAAAAACAAACAAACAGGGATTTTATAATCCTTTAGGGAGCTGAGAATAGGCAAGAACTTTGTAATCATACATTTGTAATCATACATTTAACAATTTCCTCTTAGACAATTGCCCACAGTTTTCTGTTATTCATTCTTTGCTCGGATCAAACAGAAAAGCTAAATATTCTCGAGCTTCCAGGTATAGCAATGGGAAGTTGAATAGTTATATCACTAAAATGAGTAGCTGCACATTTCATGAAAGACCATCTATCATATACCTAGACCTGTGCTAGGTATTGTGAAAAGAACAAATAAGCAGGAGATACAGCCTTCTGCTGTGGGAGGGGCTGATCTTGTTTGGGAAATGATATCAATGAAACAATTACAGAAGTATACCAGGGAGGGGAGAGCACTTTGGGAATTAGAATAATCAGGGAAGGCTGTTTGAAGATGGGTCTTGCATTGGTCCCTAAAGAATCCTGAAAGTCTGTGATACCAGGTTCTTAAAGTCTATGCCAAGGAGGCACAAGTGCCAGCAGGTAATATGAAATTAGAAAAGCTTCCAGCATGGTTCCCACAATGGCATCATTTCTGTACCCGGATGAGGTCTTGGGGAGATCTGTAGTAAATGATAGTCATTCTATAAGTAATTAGTTATTGGCACCTTGATACCCCTTTGTGCTGTTACCTCTTAGGATGAATCCCACAGACCCTTAGGAACAAGTCATTTTCCACAGGGAGAATTTATGGCATGATTAAGACCCTTCCCCTCCCACCTTCCTCTTTTGAGTATTATTCATCCTCTTTCATAATTGGTGCTTAATTTGTCAGAGAAAGAATTAATTAACAAGAATCTAGTGTACTGAGAGCCTTCACTACTAAGTTAAAAAATCACTTCCTTAAATATTTTTGAGCTCACTTGGGAATCAAAAAACTCTCTTCTAATTGAAAGATCCTTAACTAAACCATAAGCCCTGGCTGTTGGCCAGGAAGGATGAATTAAATGTGTGGCAATACCTTCTCCTCCTCTGTAACCTAAATTTGACACCCCCCCCCCCCCAATGACTAGTGGGTGGCTTCTAGGATAGGAGCCAAACTACCCTTCAGTCCCATTCAGAAAGGGAAACTGAGGCACAGTGCTGAGAGGGACTGGGAAACTCGATGGTCCAGGGCTAAGGGCAGAGTGTTATTTCGGGACTCCGGGCTAAAGGTGCATCTCAGGGGTCCTGACTCCCAGCTCAAGCCCGGGCGTGAGCTCTGGCCTCTCTCCCAAATCTTACCACGCAGGTACCATGGACCCTGCCCTACCCAGTTCAGTAAGGCGTTTTGACAGCTGAGGCCCAGAGGGACGGGAACCGGTAGTGCTCCACCTCCTCCCATCTCATAGCCAATGATGGCTCGAGGCCTGCTGCCAGACAGCCAACCAGAGAGCGCTACGCCACTCTGCCCGTCCCCGCCCCCTCTTGCCTCTTCCTCTCTTAGCCCTCCTCCACCCCCACTTTGGCTCGACCGAGCTTGGTGGAGCGGAAAGTCCCTGAGTACCGAGCTGGACCGGCAGCCATTGGCGGAGAGGCTGCCACGAGGAGGACCAATCCTGGCGCGCGCTGGAACGTCGTTCGGGTCACGATTGGTTCTCCTGCCACTTCCCCCCACCCACTACCACTCCCTCCCTTCCTTCTCTCCGGCTTGGAGGCGGGGCAGGCGGGGGCGGGCCCAGGTATCAGGTTCGGTTGCGCGGGGTCGCGCGTCTCCCCGAGGTAAATAGTCGGTGGCGGCGGCGACGACTTTTGGCCTCAGGAGCCGGGGGCCGCAGGATTGGGAACCAGGCTCCTGCCTGGTCGGACCTGTTGCCTTCAGGTGAGCGAATGACGGGCGTCGCTAGCGCCTCTGGGCCGGGGTTTGGGCAGGCAAGACTCCTCGGGCGCCTTCCCCTCACTCCTCCGCCGCCCCCGACACCGCCGCCTGCCTCGGTGCTCCCCGTCCCGGCCCGTTATCTGGGCCTCGCCGGCCCCGCAGACGTCACTCGTCGGCCCTGCAGACTCACGTCGCCCCCAGCGAGGCCTGCCGGCCCCGACCTCCCCGGGGGAGGGATCCCAAACTTCGACTAACGGCCGCTGCTCGGCCGGTGCCCTGGGGCAACCCCTTCCACCAGGGGGCAGGGGCGGTGGGGGGGCCCCCGAGGAGGAATGTCATAAATCATAAACTCCTCCCTCTTAGGGGAAGGGGTGGTAAACTGAGGCACCGGGCTGGTTGGTAGTCTGCCAGGGAGCCAGAGTCCACCTTTGGGACCCAGAGACTTATAGATGGGCTCAAACTAATGCTTAACTCCCTCCGTCCTGTGAGATAATGGGCAAGAAGGGTGGTAGGAAGAGCGATGAGGATTAGAGGTTCATGGGATTTAGAGCTGGAAGAGACTTCAGGTGGTCTGACCAGGGATTCCAAAACTTGGGGTTCACGAACTGTCAAGAGATCCAGAAATAAATTTCAGGGTGTCCGTGAACTTGAATGGGGGAGAAATGACACACCTTTGGTTTCACTAACTTCTAACTGAAATGTAATATTTCCTTCAATTATGAAAGCAGACAATAAAGCCTTATTCTGATAAGGGGTCTGTAGGGTTCACTAGACTGCCAAAGGGAGTCTATGACAAAAAAGGTTAAGAACTCTCTTGGTCATGATCACTTTACAAATGAGGTAGCTAAGGCCCAGGGAAGTAAAGGATTACCCATCCTACTGCTGTCTCTTGCTCATTTATTCTCCTTTCTGTTTCAGTTTCCCCATCCTCAAGGTGAGGATGCTGTTACACAATCACTTGGAGTTCTTTAGTTGAAAAATTCTCTGTGGACAGAAGGTATCTCTCTTTTCCTTTAATAATAAATGGTCTGGTTAATAGACATGAATCCAAGTCAGTCAGTACAATTCATTATACACCTACTATATGTTCTAGGCACTGGGGATACAAACACTGTCTCAAAAAGTGAAACAGCCTCATCTCTAAGAAGGGCCTTCTACTAGGTATATTCAGTATATGTACAGAGAAGTAAATCTAGGATAAATGTAAAATGAGGGAGGAGGATAAGGGAAATGCTTCTTGAAGGAGGTGACACTGAAAGGAGTCAGTCAGTAATGTGTCAGGCAGTGTGCTAAGCACTGAGAATAGAGATACAAGCAAAAAGAAAGACAGCCCCTTCCCTCTAGGAATAGACTTAAAAAAAATAGGTAAAGACAATACACAAAAGGAAGCTGAGAAAGAGAGGGCGGTACAAAGGAAGGTACCTTGCTTGGAAGTGTGTTGGAGTCCAGATTACCACCTGGGGAGAAATGAACTAAAGGAGCTAGCAGGTTCTGAGAGGCAGAGGAGACAGAGTATTTCAGGTATGGGGGATAGCATGTATAAAAGGCACAGAGGCAGGAGATCGAGTCTAGGCCTGTTTTGCTAGAATGTAGAATGGATAAAAGGGAATGATGTTATTAGCTTGGAAAAATAGGCCAGAGCCAGATTGTAAATGTCTTTAAATGGCAAACAGAGGAGTTTGTATTTTATCCTAAAGGTACTGGGGAATCACTAAAGCTTCTTGATTAGAAGAGTGACATGGCCAGACCTGACCTTTAAGATAGTACTTTGGCAGTGATGTGGAGGATGGAAACAAGAATTGTAAATTTGCATTCCAGAGAATGCTGCTCATGAATGTTTGATATACAATGACATGTTCTTTGTACCTGTGTACAACTCTGTTGCTTTTGCATTTTTAAGACAATTGATTGTTCTTATCCTAGTTCCCTTTCCCCCAAGTTCAGCTAAAAATAACACATTGCCTTGCTTTTTTGACTGAAAAGTCTGTGTGTGTGACATAAGATTGTTAATTTTCTAGGATGTGGTTTCTAGGGAAAAAAATGAGATGTCCTTAATGTGTTTCAGGGGCTGAAAGAGGGAATTTGTTCAAGTGTTACTTTTTCTGCACCCCCTCACACCCTAGGTAGAAGTAATGGCTCTGAGGATTAGCCTGCTGTTTTTCAGTGTATAGTGGGTGGATTTGCACTAGTACATTATCAGGAGAAAATGGTCTTCGAGAACTTTTGAAATCCAAAACACTTATGTTCTGTTGCAAAATCCTGGAAAATTCCAGCAAATAACACATTCCTTTTGGTGTGGTTCTTATAAGATTTGACAAGGCCAAGGCTCATGCTTTCTTTCATCTTTTTTTAATGTAAGGTTTTATTGATATCTTCTGTTTCTTATGCCACTTCTCCTCCCAGAGGGCCATTTTATATAACAAATAGTATTTTTTTTAGAAAGGAAAAAAATCACTGTAATTGCTAAATACATTTTAAAAAGTTGGGTAACATGTGCATCATGTTTTCTTTTAAAAAATCATAATGATTTCAGTGATTTCGATGATTTTGTGTGTTAAGACTGCACTTATATTTGATGCAGAAAGATGAGAGTGAAAAAAGGAGAATAAAGTTATTATCCTATTCATCACTTGATTGATATTACTATTTTTTTCTGGTTTATACTGTATTCTGAGTTGTTTGAGTTTTTTGATATTGACACGCAATCTGTGCCATTTTAAAAGGATTAAATGAAATGATTCAGGAAAATCAGTTTAACATGGATGTCAAAATTATATTTTTTTCCTCTAATATATGACAAGTAAAGCAACATTGTTTTTTCCTTACACAGTAATAAAGCATTAGTAGAACAATAATTAGTGAATTTCTTTCTTCACATTTTTATTGCTATCAACTGTAACTGATTTTGATGTGCAAAATCACCGAAATCATTAGACGTTATAGTCAAATGAATCTGTAATATTGATTCAGAAGTTCCCTTTAATGAGGTAGCTCAAAATCAGTTCTGTGCCCATCCATCCTCTGTGACTCTCATCCATGTTCTCTTAAAAGTTCACTGCAGGGGGACAGTCAAACTTGCTATAGGCTTTTACCTGACATTATAAGAGTACTAGTGGATCATTTGTTCTTGAGACATGACCAGCCCATCTTCTCTTTATGTAATACAATTCATTGATGGTATCCTTTGCTCCTATTCTTCTTCAGAGTTCCTCCTTGGTTATATATTACAACCTGCTCTTTCATGCCTATCATAGGCTTTTTCATTGCTCTCTATGTAATGCTCATCTGTAGTTCTTGGGACGCAGTGGTATTCCAAGTTTGGAAGCACAATTAAATGCTTTTTAGGATTCTCTAGAAATATTGAGGAATAAAATTTCTCTAGTTTAAACCCTTTCCAAATTTCTCTGCTTTCTTGGTATGGTAGTCAAATGATTAAATACAGAATATCTCTTGTTAGATCATTGCCTTCCCACCCACCAGAAATGTTTGACCCATCTAAAGGCAGTATACTCTTTGTCCATCCAAGGACTGATGCTTTGACCCATGTTTCTCCTTTGAGAAAAGGTTAAGTCTAGTAAACAAGCAGTTAATAACCACCTATTATTTGCCAGGCACTGTGCTAAGCACTGGGGAAACAAAGAAAGGGAAAAATAGTTTCTGCTTTCAGGGAGCTCACAGTCTAATATGAAAACAGTTGTGTACAAATAAGTTATATTAAAGATAAATTGGAGATAATCAACAGAGGGTGAACACTAGTGTTCAGCAGGATTGAAAAAAGTTTCTTGTAGAAGGTGGGATTTTAGCTGAGACTGGAAGAAGCCAGGGAAGGTAGGAGGCAGAGAGGAGAAGGGAATGAGTTCCAGGCATGGGGGACAGTCATTGAAAATGCCCAGAGCTGGAGGGTTTAGTATGAGAAATAGTAAGGAGACTAGTGTCACTGAATCACAGTGTGTGTGTGTGTGTGTGTGTGTGTGTGTGTGTGTGTGGTGGGTGGTGGGGGTGGTGGAGAATAAAGTACAAGAAGACTGGAAAGGTAAGAGGGAGCCAAATTGTGAGGGCCTTTAAAAACCAAACAGAAAATTTTGTATTTGATACTTAACGTCATAAGGAACCACTAGAGTTTAGGAAGATCTCTTTGATAGCTGAATGGATGGAGAATGGACTGGAGTGGGGAGAGATTCGAGTCAGAGAGACTAATCAACAGACTGTTGAAAATAGGCTAGGCTTGAAGTGATAAAGGTTTGCTACCAGGATTGTGGTATTGTCAGAGGAGAGAATGGGGCAACACACAAGAGAGATGTTGCAAAGTTAGAATCAATAGTACTTGGCACCAGATTGGATATGGGAGGTGAAAGAGAGTGAGGAGTTGGGGAAGACACCTCAGTTGTGAATCTGGGTGACTGGGAGGATGGAGGTACCTTCAACAGTAATAGGGAAGTTAGGAAGAGGGGAGAATTTTAGGGGAAAGATTTGGACATGTAGAATATATCTATTCAATATTCCAGCAGATGGGAAGATAGAAGTCAAGAGAGAGGATAGGGATGAATAAATAGATCTAATAATCATATATGTGTGTGTGTGTATGTATAAAATATATATAGGTATATAAATGTGCATGTTTTTATGTGGAGAGAGAGAAAGAGAGAGACAAAGAGACAATATAATTGAATTCCTGGGAGCTGATGATCTCATCACCAAGCAATGAAGAGGGCCCAGAACCAGAGCCTTGGGGGACAACTACAGTTAGAGGCATGATCTGGATGAAGATACTGCAAAGGAGACTGAAGAATAGTCAGACAGGTAGAAGAAGAACCAGGAGAGAGCAGTGTCAGAAAAACCTGTAGGGAAGAGAGTGTCAAGAACAGGATGATGGAAAGTGTCAGAGGCTACAGAGAGGTCAAGAAGGATGAGAATTGAGAAAAGACCATGAGATTTGGCCATTAACTTGGTAACTCTGAAGAGAGCAGTTTCAATTGGATGATAAGGTTGGAAACTGGACTGCAGAAGTTAAAAAAGTGAGAAGAAAGGAAATGGAAGCACTGAAGGGAGGAAATCTATTTGTTTACTCTAGGAGTGATCAACTAAGGAACTGAATAGTAATTTTATTGTTCATCTGTTTTGGAATGCTCACACAAAACTATTTTTACATATGATCATTTTCCTGTTCAAGATTGCTATAAATGTTGCCTGAAGTCATCTTGGGTGAGAGTCCTGTCAGAAGGCAGTGGGGAACTAGGCCAGTGTGTCTCTCTCTCTGTCTCTCTCTCTCTCTGTTTCTCTGTCTTTCTGCCTTTCTGTGCCAGAAATGACTTGGATATTAGATTAATGTAAAATAAGGAAAAAATTATTTCTGGTAAATTTGTCTAAAACCCAGCATACAGTATTAATATTTTTTTTCTTCAACACAAATCTCATTACACTGGGCACAGCTCATTGGCCATCTGTACTTTCTTTCCTAATTGTATATACTATTGGACAAGCTTTATAGGGTGCCCATTTAGTAGATGCATGTTGAAGTCAAGGCAATGGGCAGTCTCTATCCATTTAGTCTTTTCTGTAGATGGTTAGGCCAAACTCTTTTGAGTAATTTCAGATTTCTTTTTGAAGACTTTCACTGTCTTGATACTTGATGTAATTAACACAGTGCCATCTTTATCTGAGGACCCCACCTTCCTCAGGGAAACTTTGATGTGGACTCTTACACTGGATCTCCTCCATCACAGTGATGAATACTTCTGGTGAGCATACATTTCCATATTTTATACCTCACCTGAAGTTTATTTTCAGAATGTCATTGAACTGGGTTATTTCTGTCATTTTCCAGAGAATCTATTACATTCCAAGGAATGATTTTTGCATAGAGATGGGAGGCACCTTTTAAAAGGTCCTGCAAGGTAGTATTTTGTTCTTCTGAATCAAATGTTTTTTTTTCAGTCAATAAATAAATAAATACAATGGAATCTTATATTCTCCTTATATTTCTGCGTTTTGTGAGATAGTAAAAGTGTGACATTATACTTGAAGTAAAAATTGGTTGTGAGTAACATTCCATGAATTTGGAAAAAAAACTAAGTCCCATTAACATGACCTATTTGGATACAAAGTATTTTGGAGAGGAACCAATATTTACTTTCAGTCATAGCATTGGAGATAAGGGAAGCCCTTTTAGTGGTAGTGTCTAGTACTTAACCTTTCTCTGTGGTCTAGAAGTATGTCTCATTTCTAATATTCTTTACATTTTTTGGAGGGAAGAGTATAGAGCTGGGAATAGAAAGGACTTGACTGGATATTTGTCTGTACGTTTACATGTAGAGTATAGATGGATCATGCAGGTCACATTGCTGTTCTTATCGAATCATGAGGTTGGCAACAATTTATGCCCTTCTTAGGAAGAGAAATGGAAGAGAAGTTTAAGGACATAGGGAACTGCTTAGGATATAGTAAAATAAAGATGATTTAAAGGATCATATTACAGGTACATTTTGCCTTTTGCTACCTAGACCTCCCTGTAAAGTTACATGTAAACCAAATTCCATTTTAATTGTGTTGGGAGTGCTTGCAATGTATAGAAAGCTCTTTTTTCTTTTATTTTGTAAAAAAAAAAAATCCCTAATAAAATTTTTTTTTTGTAACTATAGAGTTTCACATGTTAGGATTGCTTATAAAATTTCTGTTTTGATATTTTCACATGTGCTTGTGTCAGTATATAAGTTAGAGTGAGATTTTAAACAGCGTGAGGATTCCTCCCCAGTCATGAAATGTAAAAAAATTTTTCTTGGTGAGTCAAATTTTAGCTTGCTTAAGAATATGGAAGTTTCTCCTTGTAGAGAAAGAGATTCTTTCTTAAAGCGATGGTCATTTGTTTTGTATTATATAGAAGAGTTTGAAAGAGATCTCATTGACTTTCCTTTCTGTTTGGTAATTATAATCTGGAACAGTAATTTAGTATAGTATGTATTGATTCTGAAATCTGATAAAGAATGGATAGCCATCAGTGCTTTTAAGAACTGGTATACCTCAGGAGAAGGACAAAGTTCTTGAGTTTCAAAACTGGCTTTGTTTCTTCAATGAGATTCTTATGAACTGTATGTGCTAGTAACCTGAGAATCAAAATGACATTATATCTTCTAGATAAGGTAGATATTGACACTTTAATAACATGTACAAATAGTGATTCAGCTAATTGATGCTGTTAATTTTGCTCTCTGATATGGTTTAGAACTTGCTGAAGTTTTCATTGGTATTTAGTATATAAAATATTTTTTGGCTGTATTGTATTCTCCAGGTCATTAGGAGGTAAAGTAAATATTTGTGTCCTCTAAACTTACATTCCCACATATAGTAAATCCCTATTTAGTTAGAATCTACAAGCAAACTCAAATAACTAGTGTTTTTACAGGTCTTTCCCAATGATAATTGAGGCTTCAGTTTAACTTGGCAAACATTTATTAAGATCCTTGCTGCTGGGAGTACAAAAGCAAAAATGTCTTGTCACAGGGAGCTTACATTCTTTTGGGATGAATATATCATGTTCACAGATGAATAAATATAAGGTAATTTGAGAAGCTAGGAAACACTTAACTGGGGTGATTTTTGGAAGGCTTTGTATAGAAGGTGGCACCTCAGTTGAGTTTTGAATGAAAGTAAAAATTCTGTTTTTGAAGCATTTGAGGCAGAGAGGGGTTGGGTAGGGATAACCCATATGAAGGTATGGAAGTTCAGGGAAGAACTAGTAGTCCAGTTTTCCTGGCACATTAAAATACATACAGGGGAGTAATAGCAAATGTTTGAAAAGATAGATTGGAACTAGGTTGTAGAGGGTGTCAGTTGCTAAGTGGACGAATTTTTTTTTTTATCTTAGAGGAAATAAGGAGCTACTGAAGATTTTTTAACAGAATAGTGACATAGTTAGACCTTGCCTTAGGAAGATTATTTTGGCTACTTTGTGAAGGCTTGATTAGAAAGGAAGACTCTAGAAGCATGGAGTATAAGAGACAAGAGGTGATGAGAACCTGAACTAGTATGAATGGAGAAGAGGGGACAGATGCAAGAGACAATGATATAACCTCTATAAAGCTTGTTAATTGATTGGATGCCATAGGAAGAGCAAAGAGTGACTTGGAGTTTGTAAATCAGGGTGACTAGAAGAATGATGATGCTCTCAGTGGAAATAATTTGGAAGGAGAAGAGGGTCTTTGGGGGCAGGGGGGAAAATAATTCCATTTTGGAGGTGTTGCACTTTAGATTCTGACAGGATATCTAGGTGGTTACTGTCAACTGCCAACTGTACATGTGGGTTTCTGGAATTTAGGAGATAGATTAGGGCTAGATATATAGATTTCTAAGTCATGTCCATATTGATGATCATTGAACCCATGAGGGGAAACCCACACTTGCCCCAGACAAGTAGTTGGAAAACCAAGAGAGAACAGTATCTTGGAAGCCAAGGAAGAAAGAGATATTTAGGAGGAAGGGAGTGGTTAACAGTATCAAAAGCTGTAGGTTGTGCTTTGCTAAGTAGCAGTGATTATTCAGTTGAGATCATGGATTTGGTGAGAGTGAAGCTAGTACTTGCTTGGCTTCCTCCTATTGATCTCATCATTGTTGGAGTAGGAGAGTAGAAGGCTGTGGGGGTAATCCACTTTTGAGAATTGGCAGCACCTGAATGGTCCTAGAAGGAGGGAGTGAGGAATTCAAGAGTAGAAGATAATTACTCTTATCAAGATAGTGAAAGGTGGAAAGTAAGAAATGAGCAGGGCTAATAGATTGGGAAAACAGGTAGAGGAGGTGGAGAGATTAGAGGTCATGATGAGGATAAACATATTTAGGAGGAACAAGGTAGAGGAAGAGCTAGAAGAACAAGAAGTTATGATCAGAGAGGGATATTTCAGAGTTCAGGATCATGAAGGGAGTATAGTTATGGGTAATAGATTATCCCTATGACTGGGCCTTAGGAAGCATTGTTAAGGCTAGTGGAGGTGATGGAATTCCAGCTGAGCTATTTAAAATTCTAAAAGATGATGCTGTTAAAGTGCTGCAGTCAATATGCTAGCAAATTTGGAAAACTCAGCAGTGGTCATTGGATTAGAAAAGATCAGTTTACATTCCAGTCCTAAAGAAGAGCAATACCAAAGAATGTTCAAATTACCAAATAGTTGCACTCATTTCACATACCAACAAGGTTATACCTAAGATTCTGCAAGGTAGGCTTCAGCAATATATGAATAAAGAATTATCAGAAGAGCAAGCTGGTTTTTGAAGAAGCAAAGGAACTAGAGACCAAATTGCCAACATTTGCTGTATTATGGAGAAAGCAAAGGAGATCCTAAAAAACATTTACTTCTGCTTCATTGACTACACTAAAAAGCCTTTGACTGTGTGCATCACAACAAAATGGGGCAAGTCTTCAAAGAGGTGGGAGTACTAGATCATCTTATTTGTCTTCTGAGGAATCTATATGTGGGCCAAGAAACAACAGTTAGAACCCAACATGGAACAACTGATGGGTTTAAGATTGAGAAAGTAGTACAACAAGGCTGTGTATTGTCACCTTATTTATTTAACTTATATGCAGAGTACATCATGTGAAATTCCAGGCTGGATGAAGCAAAAGCCAGAATTAAGGATACTGGGAGAAATACCAACAATCTCAGATATGCAGATGATGCCACTCTGATGGCAGAAAGTGAAGAAGAATTAAGAAGCCTCTTGATGAAGGTGAAAGAGGAGAGTGTAAAAGCCGGCTTAAAGTTTAATGTCAAAAAACCTAAGATCTTGGCAATTGGTCCCATCACTTCCTGGCAAATAGAGGGAGAATAAATGGAAGTAGTGTTAGATTTTATATTTCTGGGCTCAAAGAGTGCTGCAGGTGGCAACTGCAGCTATGAAGTTAAAAGATGTTTCCTCCTCAAAAGGAAAGCTAAGGCAAATCTGGACAGTATACTAAAAAGCAGAGACATTACCTTTCTGACAAAGGTCCATATAATTAAAGCTATGTTTTTCTAGTGGCAGTGTATGGCTGAAAGAGTTAGACCATAAAGAAAGCTAAGTGCCACAGAATCAACACTTTCAAATTGTAGTGCTGGAGAAAACTTTTGAGAGTCCCTTGGACAGCAAGGAAGTCAAATCAATCAATATTTAAAGAAATTAATTCAGGCTGTTTATTGGAAAGTCAAATACTGAAGCTGAAGCTTAAATACCTTGGCCACATAATGAGGCCAAACACAGGATTCATTGGAAAAGACGCTGGTATTGGGAAAGATTGAAAGCAAAAGGATGGCAGAGCATGAAATGGATACATGGTGTCATGGAAACAATAAACATGAACTTGGACAGACTTGAAAAGATAGTGGAGGACAGAAGGCCCAAGCATGCTATGGTCCATGGGATTATGAAGAATTGGACATGATTGAACAACAAGTGGCTGAGGTAGAAGGAAGATATGGTCATAAGAGTTAGCAAGGTGGTTGAATTAGAAAGTCAGGGTGCTGAGGAAACACCAACATGTAAATCAAAGTCACCACAAGTTTAAAGTTAGGAGTTGGGGTACTGAGGAAGAATGTGACCTGGTCAAGAAAGGAGTGAAAGGGACCTGTAGATCAGTAGAGGATAGCAACAAAGATCTGTACTTATTGACAGATAGCTGGATGGAGTGAGCCTTGGAGGGAGGGAAAGTTGAGAAGTAAATACGGCAGGAGAGCCTGAAAGAGGCAGTAAGGATAAAGGAATATGCTTTATCCAGAGGTATATTAAGAATTTTCAAAGATTAGTTCTTTTCAGTGTAGTTAATATTTTAAGTATTAACTCCTTAGAAACTGGTAATTTGAGTATGATTTTTGATAACTCTCAATCTGAGAGGCAGTTGTGATGTAGTGGGTAAGATAGCTGGCCAAGACCACCTGGGTTTGAGCTCCATCTCTGATAGATATATACACACTGGCTATGTGGCCCTGGAGAGGGACTTAATCTCTTATTGCTCCAGGAAACTTTTAAAACTATATATTACAGGGAAGGTGCAGATCTGCCTTGCTGATGGAATTTCCCCATTCTAGAGTTCCCTATACCAGTGAAGTCACAAGTTCAGTCTCTGTTCCTCATTCTCAGTATACATATTATAATACTCAATCAGAGCTTTCCAATTGCCAATGCTAGAAAAATAAGAATTTACTATATTTCAGTAATGAGATGGGTAGGCTATATTTACAAATTCAGATAAAATCAATCATGATTAGTTTTGGGATGTCTTAAGGAAAAAATCACCTATAATGGCCAGAGAAATCAGGTAAAAAAGTCCTTTGGGATTTGATTAGTTTACGATTTCATTGGTGAGGAAACTCCTACTGAAATAGATCTCCAGCTGATTTGAAACTTAGAAAAGGGCATATTATCATTATCAGTTGTCTTGGTATTAAATGTGGCTACATCTAGTTAACTTTAAACAAAGGCAATTGCTATATGCACATGACAACTTGGACTGTGTGTCTTCCACTGTGTTATGTACAATGCCAAGAATGTGGTAGACATTCAGTAAATAATTTTCTTTTCCATTTAAACCTAACTTTAATGCAGTTTTCATTAGCATTGCTTTGAATAATTCTGAAGTATTAGTGGAAACTATCACTTCAACTCCTGAAACTCTTTGTTTACAAAGCTCTCAGTGTTGCTTGGTATTCTGCTTGTTTCCATATTTCATGCAAGGAAGGCATGAAATTAATCATTATATTATTTGTGACATGTAATTAATATATTACTCTATCATATTATAGTTCCAAAGTTGTAAGTAGTGTTTTGCCAAAGTTACTGGATTTCTGAATTCTTGGAGCCATCATTTTCTCTCCATTTCATATGTTCAGCAAAGCGCAGGTCTTTCAAACCTAAATTTTACTTAAAAACGTTTAGAAGAGATGTTAGCCTTTCTTTATAATGCTTTATACATATATACATATACATATACATTTAGCAACATCTGCTCCAATATGAACTTATTCCCATTTATATTATCCTAAGTGGAAATAAAAAAGCAGTGTTTATCATTATCTCTGCAATATATTTTCTTAGTTACCTGCATCTTCAATCCCATTTTCTATAGATTGTAGATTTTTCAAATAGTTTTTTCTCCCTCAGCCTACTAAGACACAAATCTATGTGAGAAATTCCAAGCAAAGAATATAGTTATACAACTAATTTTTAATAGTTTCCTAATGACACAATGAGGCAGCTAGGTGGTTCAGTGGTTAGAACATTGGGCCTAGAGTCAGGAAGACCTGAGTTAAAATATGAGCTCAGACGCTTAATACCTGTGTGAGCTTGGGCAAATCATTTAACCTCTGTTTGCCTTAATCTACTGGAGCAGGAAATGGCAAACCACTCCTGTATCTTTGCCAGGAAAATCCCACAGACAGCATAGGCGTGCTATAGCCTTCAGTCATGAAGAGTCAGACATGACTGAATGACTGATCAGCAACAATGACAAAATAGTAAAATCAATAACTGAAGATTTTAATTTGGCTAAATGTCACTAATGTATTAGTTGCCACAAGCAGTTTCAAATTGTGACTTCAAATGTTTAAGATAAAGAACAGTGAATTATGAGAATTGTTTATATATAAATAGTTGCCAATGCTAAATAAAGTTCCTGGTATTTAAAAATAGTGAAAATAATGTTATGTTTTTTCACAATTAAGTTTGACTTTGATTTGCATGATTTCTTTTAAAAACATTACCAGAAATGCTACAGTAGCTGTATTTAAATCCATTTAATATGTGTATCTGTATACACACACACACACACACACACACACACACACACACACACACACACA